AGTGAAGCGATGGCTGGTTCACTCGTCATGTCTGTGAACAGGCGCTGCTTTCGGGGACTGGTCAATCCAAGTTATTCAAATTTATGTATGCGAGTCATTTCTACTAGTATCTTAATATGTAAGTCTAGATATTAGCACGTCACTACCTTGTTTAATATACCTCGCAATCTTGTATACCCATTCTTATAAGATACACCATACAAGAATGCATGGTAAATTCAGTGAACTGCTCCTGAATCGAATGTACCTACTACTACTATTTCTATTTATTTATATTAACCGGCAGACAGTGGTGACTGAGTTTGTTGCGGCGCTTCTTCTCAGCACTTGCCAAATGTTGGTCTCGAAGCGCTGGTAGGGTAAAAAGATTATGAGACATGTAGAGGCTCCTTAAGAGCAAAATGACGATTTGTAAGAACTATTTATTAGTCCAAACAAATAAAGAAATTTTGACTTTGAAATTTTGACTTTGACTTTGACTTTGCGGAGAGAAATACTTAATGTACTTTGGGGTTAGTTCTGCAAAATTTTGGACTTTAGGAGACATTGTTTAATAACTAAAGGGTCCAGTGTGTTGTAGTCTGAAATAAAATATGCTTCAAATTAATTATTTAAAACCCTATCTAAGGGTGTTGTAAACCTAACTCTCCAGTTTCTGTTTTAAATGTTACATTGCTGACATGAAAATTTTGGGAAAGCTGTCCTATTGAATAAATTTTTGCCCTTTTAAACGAATTTACATTTCGGAGAAAAAATATTATCATCTAATGTTTTTTTACTTTTTAGGATACAATTAATTACTTAATTAGTAAAATTTAATTTGGTTGGATTAATTTAAAACATTGAGAAAACAAAACGGTTTATCAAAAAGGACATCTGATAAACGGCTGTAAAAAACGTACCGACATTCACTGAAAATGACAGACTTGTTAACAGGATCACGAATCTAATTAGGCCAAAAATTTAATCTAATATTTTTTGTTTAGCAGTCACGTCTCTTTTTAATTAGTTTGCGGGTTCAGAAGGTTTCAAGTGTCAAAAATATTTCCGGCGCGAGAATACACTGTACAGTCCGTTGCGTGATATTGCTTTGATAGCACCCCATTTTTTAGGTTCGTTCGTTCATTTCAGCCAAATGATTGCACTGCTGGACCAAGGCCCCCCCCCTAAGGATTTCCATAATGACCCGTCCTGCGCTGCCCGCATCCAGGCTCTTCCCGCGACGTGCCGCAACCTTCACCAGATCGTCGGTCCACCTAGTGGGTAGATTGCCCACGCTACGTCTTCCGGTCCACGGTCGCCATTCGAGAACTTTTGTGCCCCAACGGCCTTTCTTTTTAGGTAAAAGATTTTTATTAATCACTTTATGATGTGAAAGGACATTATTGAATAAACACATCTTAACATCCAATTTTTATAACATCGGTTTACTACCTTCACCAGTTTTCCATTTTCATTTTATGAAATGTTACCTTCACTTGTAGATTTTCGAGAAAACTAGTAGTACCTACTCATACTAGTTTGCAATTTACCTTTCGCTATCGTGGTCGACTGTAGGTACTCCAGAGCGCCTCTAATTGGTATGCTGAGCGCGGCCGCGGTCAACGTTCCTCAGTTGAATTGGGGCATCTGCATTTTAGCATTTAACACACCAGAAGTCTTCCCTCGGCTGTTGGGCTGGAGTTGGTCTGATTCTGACTGAGTTTTGTCAACTTAGATCACGTAACTGAGTGTACACCGATTTTTATCCCCTTACTAATAAAAGTTATCCACTCGTTGAACACTTGTTTAAAGTGACGTCTAGTATTGGAAATGTCACTTTAAACTACTGTTCAACTTGTTATTAGTAAGGGGGTTAGAGTTTATTTAGGTTGAGTGTATTGATGGTAGTGATCATATTTCCTGTAGAAACATGGTTTAAACTTTTGTTTGTTTATTATACGTACCTACTGAACTAAAGGTTGTTGTTTTACTTAAACTATTAATAAAACTTTGTCTATTTAAATTATTTCATACAACATTTTAGAAGGAAAATTATTCTCATTCCTCGAATTTCAAACGGTATTTATTCTGTGCTAGAGGCAATTAACTGAAATTCTGTGTTTCTAAGAGACAGACTAGAATAAGTAAAACTAGTATTCCGTTCCTGGTAGTTCTGCAGTAGAAAACTTAACTACTATTTCTAACAAGTGCCATAATCTTGCTTCTGTCAATGTGTACAGTTCTTTGAGACAGCTCTCTCTTGGTATTACTGAAATAATAAATAAATATTAGACTCGAGCGGTGGCACAAATAAAATCAAGTAGGTATCTTTATTAAACTACACTATCTTTTACCTGAGTCTTTGCTCGCGTAGAAACAGCCCTAGACAAAAAATGTAAAATGTGACAGTTTTTATGTCAAAAGATGGTCGAGATGTTTTTTTTGTTTGGAGTTTCAATGGATTCGATTTTCGATTCGATCAAAAGTGCCACTTGTTTAGACCCACTGGAACTGTCATAAAAGAGCATGTACGCTTAGTCCACCGATCAAAACTATTTATTTAATTGTGATCAAAACTCTCTTCCCAGAAATCCCAAATCCCCATTTACTTGCATTTGTTTCAATGTATCCCTGAACTAAGGTTATTAACATTGTGTTCATTGCTATAAGCATAAAATCAGACCAACAGACTTAATTTCAAAAGTCTCTAATACCAACCTATTGATATGGATTACTCATTAATACTTATCAGTAAGTAGATAATAAATGTTACATTCTCAACTTCAAATATTACACGTGGATGAACAATTAAAACCACTTAATAAGACTGTAACGTATCTGTAATTATGTTATAAAATAGAAATATTGATTTCAAAAGTAATTAACGAGTCCATTAATCACTGAACCCGATCGCTGAGTGGTCGGCCCTCCATATTTGTGAAATTTATTGTATCCATTATTAGGTTTCAATCAATTTTTAAAATGGCCGACTTTGCTGCTGTTTATACAGTGATTTAATGTTTGATAATAATTTTATAACTACACTGCACTAACGTATTTTGTCGTCTAGGGATAGTTTATTTAAAACTGTTTAGTTTGCTTATGGTACACTCACGCAAACAGATTGTCTGTTTTTATTTTAGTGAAATAAAACATTTCACGATACAAAACATTCATTAGTTAAAACGATGTTTCAGCCTTGTTTTTTATGACCCTCCCTCCTTTGGTTAAGTGCTTTTTGTATTTTGCAATAGTTCAAGGTGACAAGGTTATTTTTTTATTTCATTGGGTAAAAATGGCATAGTTAAAAGTTCTATCTGCCCTCAGGGGTGGACATTCCGGTGGCAAAGATACTTAGGCTGGGTTGCACCATCTTACTTTAACTTTAACAAACGTCAAAAATCTTACAAACTCCATACAAAAAGCACCGGTTATCGTTATAGTTACTGTTAAGTTGTATCACTTTACAACTCAGGTTAGTCATGATTCAAACACTAGTGTCAAAGTTAGGCTAGCCATAAAGGACAATGTTCGTTCTCCATACATTGTTCGCCTAAGAACCAACAATTTTGACATATTACTACCCGAAAGCGAAATAATACGATTCTGTGTGTAAGAACAATGATNTTTTGCCAACACCTCCAACCTTGGCCTCCAACTAATTAGGCAGTGATAGTTTAACGTAAAACAAGAGCCCTTTGGGTAATGAATTGTCAGCTTTTTTTAGACTAGTTTTGCCCGTGACTTCGTACCTTAATAATATTACCTACTTACCTTATTATTTTAAATTACTTGAGTAAGACCAAAACTCATTGTTAATGCGTTCTGTAAGTAAAGAACATTTTTGAATCTTTACGTACTTATCAATATGTATCAAACAAAGAAAATCAAAATGAACTCAAAATGATCCAGCTCAGTACTTAGTTTTAAATTGTGACATTTACTCGTGGACACCATACGGTGAAAATTCTACAAACAAGTTTATTTTTTTGGAGTTTCCTGGGTCTAATTAGTATCTTTCAGTATTTTCCCTGTTTTGACCCCGTTTTCAAAAAAAGGTTCTCAATTCGAGTGTATGTTTTTTTTCAGTTCATGTATTAATACATTTTATAGGGGCCACTCGTATGTATAGAGATATTAGCGTAGATAGACTAACATGTTCGGAACCTCTGTACAACTTCTCGCCGCCGTGTTTTGCGTTACCTTTTGTTCTGGGAGGCAGCCGGTCCTTTGTAGCGGTGGAGAAGCCTGGTGTCGACACGTGGCAGACCATTATTCAAGGAGCATGACTACGGGATATCTCGGCACACTGCACACTGACAGTATCTATGTAAACGTTTAATCAGCTTATGTTCGACTACGAGCGCTATTAGTTATAGAGCGCGTGTTTTGTGATCTTGAGCTGCGACATAGCTTTTCAATTTGGTAGTCAACTTTTTGAGAAGACGGTTTTATTAAAATTTGACGGGAATTATAATGCGAAAAAAACATGCAGTGGAAAATTGTCACTCAAATGGTTATTAAAAAATTGCCTTCTTTTCATAATTATAACAATTTTCCTCATGTCAATTATACGCATGCTCATATTGTAGAGATTAATGACCTGATGATGAAATCATTTTTGAAATAAATTTAACTTTTGAGGAGAATATAGGTTTAATAACGTGAGGACGTGAGACGCTTGTGAAAAATACCTTTCTAAAATTAGAGCCTCCTCTAAAGTTATTTTTCTCAAGCATCTTATCTCCCCACCTGGTGACATAAGCCTGACATTTTAGTTTCCTAAAAGTAGCTGCTTATTCAGCCAATTCAAGTAATGCTAAGCTATTACAGGCAATCGGGTGCCGTCGATTCGCGGCTGAATAGACATTTTCTGGACAAGGGCGCTCAATTGGACCTCTTATGACGTCTATCAGGTGAGATGTCATCAAAGGAGTATCTCGATTGGAAAATTCGTACGCTTTGTAAATTACGTGCAGGGAAATTCGGGTTTGGCGTGAAGGAATAAAATACAATAGTACATTCAGATCATTCGATGACTTTTTATTTACACAGTGATGACTTCGGTGAGACGTTCAGTACAATTAAACTTACAGATCACAGGGAAGTAACGGATCATTATGAAGCTTATGACAATTTGACAAACCTACCAACATTCTATGTAAACTAGTTAAACGAACCAATCTGTCGAATGAAAACTGTAGATAAATATTAATCTTTTAAACTATTTATCCTTTTTCATTGGACAGATATCAAATCATTTAAGTTCTCAAAATGTAATAAAATTTAGAATGTCAACGATTTCCTATATTTTATACTTTAAGGAACAATATATACAACGCACGAAATACTCTGTCAATTTAAAATTTATTCTATTTGCAATAATACTTGCAACATACAAAAAAGAGCAACACTATTATGTTATAAGGTATAACAACTTTGGACTGTAACTTAACGATATTAAGTTCAATTTTAAAATTGACAGTAGTTTCGCACCTTAAGACAACAATAATGGTGATACTGTGACGTAATCATTAATTCTATGCAGTCAAATCTTTGACCAAGGCCAAAATAACATTTCACTAATACAGTGAAACTATGAGTTACCATCCGTGAAAAAGTGTCGAGAGGATATGTATTGCATTTACGAACTTTTCTGCACTTTGCTTGTATTGTAGTAGGTAGGTATATCGTGCTAATTAAAAAATCTGTGACTATCTCGTCAGTGGTCATAAAATACTTAATTTCAATGATAAAAGAAAAAAAGGTTTCTTTTAATGAAATAGAGTCTAGGTACTAGAGTCATAAAAAGCTCAGTATAAATGTTAATCGGTCTTATTTGATAAATTGACAAAATATAATGACACACATTATAATTTTTAGTTTCTTTTTTGTTGATACTAATAAATAAATCGTACCTGCAACTCTGTCTTTCGGTATTCTGGGCCAGCGACAGTTCTTTTCAGTGTAGCAAAAATAAAACTTGGCTGTGATTTGAACACACGCCAAAAAGGAATTCGGAAGCAGCCGTTCCGAGAGAAAGAGCAGACTTTCATTGTGTTAAAAAACACGACAATGCATGGAAACCAACTTGTAATGGCGTAATATAACCTGAATCATATTCCTTCTTATCTGTTTAAAGAAAATGGCTGGGTCGGGTCGTCGCGTATTACGGGCCGACCCGCCTAAGAACGGGAGTCGCACCCTCTCTGAAGCTTCAGCCATACCAACGCGTGCAGATTGCATTGGCGATGGCGATCACTGCGCGTGTACTTTAGGCTAATGACAGGACACGCGTTGGTTTAGCTAAAGCTTAAGTTAAACTCATTCATGTAAGCGTTTATTTTGATCGATTTGTAGCTTTTGAAGTGCAAATGAATTCGTAAAATTGTCATTATTAGGGACGAATCAATATAACTTACAAGATTAACTAAATAAGTTAGCTCTAGAGACGTAAACATAAAATCCCACGAAACGATTCATTTCTGATAAATAAATATAACTATTTGACTCTACCTCTAAGTAGAGTATCTAGGACTAGATTTGTCACTTAACACAAATGTCCTACTTATGAATTGTAATTGGCAGTGCTGTGTATCTCTGATTTACTTAATTTATTTTCTACGAGTATGTTGTATGTCTTTTATAATGTGAATATGATTCTGATAATTTTTCAGGCAATGAAATCTTCCAAAAATGCGCGTGATTTGAAAACTTAATCTACTTTGTGAGATCGTTTTGTTATTACAACTATTTACATGTATTTAAATGTATTATGTTGTAAGTTTTGGCATCAAGTATCACTGAGATTGAGCCATCTTGGACAGGTACATTCTAATTTATTTATTTTATCGTTTTTCCTAATTATCATACTGGATTCTAGAGTCAAGATTTAGTTGTTTGGTATGGAAAAGGTTTTATACACAAAAATGCGGATGTATTTTTTAAGCGTTAGTGCCAGTAAAAACAAAGAAAAAAGAAAGCACCATCTGATACATGACGTAAGTGTTACTAACGATTTTCAGACTGTGATTTTAGTTGAAAACGAGCTTAGAGCACTCTAAAACACAAGATTTAAACTTTTTCAATTTTATTACAAGCCATAATCAAAAATTCATTGAATTATTTGGTTTCGTTACTCTGTGCATTACATACCTTCATCATGTAAAGATATTTTTTTCAGGTTATCGTTAGCAAAATACTTAAGACTGAAAATAAGTTATCATTCAAATTGAAGGTTTCTGGAAAGTATTATCTATGAGTATGTTTTGATAAAAAAACTTACTTTTGTGATACTGACATGGTAAAGTGCATCAATGAAGGATGATAACATTTTTCATAAGTAGTTTATGTAATTAAATATCTATATTAAAGTAATACATAGTCTTTCAAGTGTTTCATAATTTTATACACCTATTATTATTACAATAACATTAAAATTTTGATTTCATCGTAACATAACGATAAAACTATGATAAAATGTAACAACGGAACAATTCAACGCACCGATTCTAAAGACTTACACTCACTCGGGTTCCTGTTTTAGTAAAAGTCCATCAAAATTATGATTCAAACAGCTTCTAGTTACGCGGCTTCCTCCATGGCGGCTACTGGACAAACTTGTGAAACTAATGCTTCTATCTTTTCGCACTTTTAATCACTTAATGTCATATCATCTAACTATGTAAGAACACTTTATTTTCTTATAATTACAAAGGAATTTTTCTACAGCGTTCGTTTGAGTTGTATAGATAATAAATAATATCACTATTCTTATTCAAGCTAACATTGAAGATTCCCTTGCGGGCGATCAGATGTGTTCGTCTTGTACATCTGCGAGAGAGAAAAAGAACATTAATCTTCGTTTAATAAAACATTGAAAACCACACCCAAATATCGTTTGCTACATAACAAATGAACGTCAATGCGAAAGAAATGTTTCTAAGCTTATATTTACAATATTCTTGCGTCTTTATTCATTTCTAAACTAAAAGAAGCATGAATGTGCGCCTAGAATACGTTCCGATAGTTAATTTCTTTTTTTATGTTATTCATATGTTTGTTTTTGAATTCGGAACGCATATTAGGTGCAACAAAACGAAATCATTATTTTTACAAAAAATAAAAACATTTAACTTGCAACCACTTTTACAGCGTCGTAGGTACATAAACGATTTACACATCAACTTTACCGCGTAGGTACAAAATAAATGAAGCTATAAAATAAAACGTAAATATTCAATTACAACATTCATGCAAGGAAATCTCGTTACTTGGCATTTTACGTTTTCCTTAGCGAGTGTCACTAGTAGCGAGTTTATTTTATTCTATGTTTATTTAGTGTTGTTATGAGCCGTATACTGCGACAAATCCGGCGTCAAGAGTCTTATGTTGACAATAAAACAGTGTCGTAATATGTGTATGCTCGGGTGATCCGATACCTACTGGTTTAAGGCCACTGAGTTATCAACGAGAGTCGTGAAGCGTTGTGGGGTGCTCGGAGGAAGACAGTGGCTGGAGACGAGTGCAGTGTGTTCGGGGTAATCATGCATTGAGTTCAGAGAAATATTAAGCTGGAGTGGTGTATTATTATAAAAGAAGTGATTAATTAGACGGCTTTGTACCTTAAAAATTTCAGCGAGGCTTATTCGTTGTCCGATTGATCATTTGTTTGATAAACTAACGCGAACGAAAGTGAGTAACATTTAAATCAAAATTCAGTTCGCTCTTCAATGTTGTGATTAGTTTTAAAATTATTATTTAGCTAGAGCTGCGTACACCCTAACGTTACGTTTAAATTTTCGGTGTATTCTTCTCTGTCGTTCAATACAGCTATAAAATTATCACTTCACGGGATTTATTGCAACAATATCTATTTTAACGGTAAATAATATTTACCCTCCCGACGTTTCGGCTCGGTTGCACGAGTCATGCTATAAATGATGATAAATATTATTTACCGTTAAAATAGATATTGTTGCAATAAATCCCGTGAAGTGATAATTTTATAGTAAAAAATGCAACATAATAGTTTAAAATGTTCAATACAGCTGTTGTATATGAGTAAGAGGGATGGCTAGTTCTGAAAATCGGAGTAATTGACATGCAACAGTGACAACATATCTACGGAATTAACAACAGGGAAACAAAGAGGTTAAAAATTTAATGATTAACACACACAGCTAACTTTTCTCTGAACTCTGACAAACATCAACAAGTAGGAAGGTTGTATCGGGTACATACGGACAACACGTGGGTATTACTACACAGGGTGGATAACATTATCTACTTACATTGCGTGCTACCATATTCCTTTGGAAGTACAACCTATGCTCAAATAACATTTATTTACATACCACATAGAAAAACTATTAAACTTACAATGATCTTTTTCTCCCCGACAAAACGTTATGAATATGAAGAAAACAAAAGTCGATTTGTATTAGTGTATTTCATGTGTTTAAACACAATAACATTCAACAGATATAAATATTTAAATAAGGTAATAGCGTCATAACGAGATTTGACTGCATGAATTCTAGTCTATAATAATATTAAATCGCTATGCCACTAAAAATAATGCAAACATTCGGCATATTTGCTGAAAATATAGTCAATGGACGAATTAACATTCTATTAAAACAACAATTTTAATTTAAAAATAATTTGATAACAATTTGAGCCTATAAACTATTATATTAATTATTTCGTGCGAATAAAATATAAAAGTGATAATTTGAAGACATTTTGTGTATTTATTTATTATTAAAATGCATTAAAGAACAATCGTTGTAGTGACGCTTAATTGCTAAGTCTGGAAATCCAGGCTGAGATTACAGCTACCTTATGACGAGAGTATTAGCTAAGTTAAATTTACAATAGAACAGGTAGAAATTTGAGTAGATTCGTATTCTAAAAGTATCACTAAATCAGTCTAGAAGGAATTTTAGGTAGGTAGGCAAATACACTGACATAGTGCAGTCAAGACGTTCGCGTTAGTAGGTAGTGTGAGGAGATGTGTTGATAGGAAAAGTGGAGAAAAAATCACGCAATTTAATATTTATTACACGGAAAAATAATTGCCCAGGATTTTATAAGATTTTGGACCAATTTATTCAAAGATAACAACAAAAACACGTCACTTTATACATAAGAATAAAAGTAAGTAAAAGTATAACGATCTCGAGTTTAGGCGAAAATAGTTTGAACTAATCTCTATAAAACCTTATTGAGATGTCTTTAACTAAGATTAACCAGTACAGTATAAGTTAGACTACTTTGTTCGTATTACGACCTATATTGAGCTAGTCTAAACTGATCGATGTTATGGCGCATATAGAGATTTACCTAGCTCAGGCAAAACTGGTTCGTCTAAACTCGGAATTTGCCTCAATAAATTATAGAAGATCAATTAAACGAAAATTTGGGATCACGTGACAAAACCTCTCAATAATAATGAGTTTCGGGCTTGTGGAAGTGTAACGGACCAGACACAAAAGGGGTTTGTGCAATGGGTTGGATCGAAACCTTACTTTATAGTATTTCCCGTAAAATCTTATAATACAATTATCTGCTGTATTGCTTTACACGATAAGACGTTTAATATTTATGTAACCGTTTTAAACTACTTCTAAACTATTTCAGAAATCGTTAATGTTTGGGATGCATGGGATTCATGTGAAAATGAATCTAAGTTTGAAACTGAGAAAATAAAATGAGGCAAGAATTAATTAGTTAAACGGCGTCAATGTAATGTTTTAAAGTATGCAGAAAGGAGTTAGATTTTAAGAAAATAGTAAGTAAGTACTAAAAGTCATCACATAATCAATGAATTTATTAGCACTTATAACATGTCATTGAAATCGAATGACGCTAATTTTTATTAATATTACAATGACATGGCACTTCTATTACGTCATGTTCCAATTAAGTTATTAGTTATTTTCTATCTGAATCCGTTAAAATATTAACTTGTAATTAAAACTCAAACACATATTCGAACTAGCGTTAAGGGTGCCAATTATGAATAAACTTTCCGTAACATAATGAAAACTAGTTTTGATTACTATTAAATTGAGCTATCAAATCGCTATTAATAATATTGTATGGTGTACTAGGAACAATCTGGTAGGCAAATATGTATTGGGTCGGAGCTTTATTTGTTTTTCTTTAGGTAGCGCCAAGAACGCGAGACAAAAGGTCTAAAGGCTAAAACCTATCCGAGGAACATTTGCATTCGATTGTAGACAATATCTGTTTAGGCCTCTGAAGAAAACCCCAAGTTTTTGTATGTCAACTAGGTACCCTTGCTTCGCACTAGAGAAAGTAATAAAAGGTTGACGCTGTAAGAATTTACGCGTTTTGTTGTTTATTTAAAACTTACAAAACAAACCTTGCTTCGACAAAATAGTTCATTTCTTATTAATTGGGGTTCAAAGTCAACTGAGGGAATTCGTCGCCTAGCAGATTTTCCAACATTATGGTGGTGGTGACCGTACAAATGAGTACCTACTTAGCGTAATTGCAAGACAAACGATCAGGTCATGTTCCTAAAATAATAAGCTTTTTGTAACAAATAGGCCTGTCAAATGATAGACCGCATCACGACATTTTGTCATGCGTGGTTGTAATAATACTGTTTTTCTGAGAATATACCTTCTGAAACATTAGGCCGCATCACGACGTCTTGTCTCGCGTCATTGGCTGGGGTATGAGATAATTGGGTACCTGACACACCAAATTAGGTTTTTGTATAGCAATTCGGAATGATGACGTCACATTTTCGCAAAATCTAAAATAATAAGCTTTTTGTAACAAATAGGCCTCGTCAAACGATAGGCCACATAATGCAGTTCTTATTGACAAGCCTTTGAATTTTACTTGTGTCAAGTACTCAATTTAAAGGTAACTTTCAGAGAAGTCAAGGTCAGAGACAGAGGCGCGGGAGGAGCGCGTGTAGTTGGTGGACGTGCCATAGTCCGACGTAGCGGTGGCGAGGTCGGCCAGGACCCCGCCGCCGCCGCCCGTACCTTGCGTGACGCCGTCCGCCGCCGCCGCTTCGCGTTCCGCTAGCTTCTGCTTCAGCACCCGAATGCGCTCCTCTTTCTGTGGAGATGCTTTATTTTTAGTTTTTTTTGTTAAGGTCAGCTAAACCAACGCGTGCATCCCGAGCGGGCGATGGTGATATGGTGAGCGCGATGAGTAGTAATCAGTAGGATCGCCATCGATCATAGTATTCGTGCGGATTGCAGTAAGCCAGTGTCGAGTAAAATAACAATTCAAGTAAGTTAGTTTAAGTAATGATGTAGGTCAGGAGTGGCCAACCAATCGATCGATCGATCGCAATTATTATATTATCAAGAATTAGTCGACCATGGCAAGGCAAAAATGTAAATAAGTAGGTAGTTTAATCAAATTGGCCACTCCTGAAATAGGTTAATGATACGTAAGTTGATATACCCCGCTCTCTTTATGTTTCAGTAATAATTGTAGTTCAGTAACGATGTGGCCTTACGCGGACTTCTTGAGAGAAATTGAAATGGTGTAGCTCTGTTTTGTTTTATTTGACTACTACTTATACATACAGGTTCAGAAACATTTAATAATGCACGAATTTCGGCTGAAAACAAGCTTTATAAAATAAAACAAAACCACTTAACATGGCGCTTCACTATCCCGTTAAGTCACTCTACTTTAAGTTACATGATTAATTTAGCTTTGTAATGAGCTCGGAATAAGATCAGACGCCTCGATGACCGAGGGTAGTCACGCTTCGATTACTGAGCGGGTCAGAGGCTAGTTTAAGGAATTTTCCGAACTGCAAACATAATTTCCAAAGGTTCGTGTTATATTGGTGGTAAAAGCGGTATTAATTATTTATAGCGGGACCAGAATTGATTTCAATAATGGCACTTAGATTCCTAGAAAAGTTTTTGGAATTGAGTGGTCTAAAGAATATTTAAGGCAAGATTAATTTTCCAAAAATATATATTCCATCAGTCCGTTAAGGAAAAAGTAAAAGGAATTTGGGAAATTATCATCATAACTGGTTCTGAGAACTACGTAATTTAGGGCAGTTTAAATAATATCTTGGTAACAAAAAATTAATACAGAACATGAAATTAAAAGTGCTTTGTAATTTAAGTAAATGGAATATCATAATAATTTATAGTTATATACCATGTTGTTTACCTTAAAATAAGTAAAAAAAAATATTTAAATTGCCAGTGGGTGGAGTTCATTTTTACAAACGCTCCATTTCCCAGAAATCTCCGCGGGCTTTAAATTTTTCCGTTTTTACGATGCACTGAGTCACAGATCATAGTTCTGAGAATGTGCCAAAAAGAAATAAACACGTGGAAATAATGCGCTGCATTTCCAAGCTTTGTCAATAAAAATGAAAACTCTCTACACCTGATAAGGTTCGGCCAAACCAACGCGATCGACCGGCGTGCAGCGATGGCGATCAATGCATTTAGGTCTGGTCGCCATCGCTGCACGCCGGCTGATCGCGGTGTGATCGCGTTGGTTTGTCCGAACCCATAGGGATGCTACACATCTAAGCGGGCTGGCATTGTCGGCTTAACAGTAATTGTCGAAAAACTAAACTTCGGCTTCAGCGGTTAGTGACGACGTGCTGCAAAAAATAATATTAGATTTTAATGCCCGGCTGTGCCTATTAGCAATGAGGATCATTTCGATTTTTAGCTGTGAATGCAGATTTATAGGGCTAAGAAATCCTTAATACACAGTGAAAAAATTTTTGTTCTACGACAAAAATTGACGAAGTTATGGCCAAATTACTAAAAAAGTTCACTGACCGCCCGGCGCGGGGACGATGACGTCATTATATCCGATCCGAACGCTGCCGGCGTACTGCGTGGATAGAAAATATTTTTTTCTAGCCAAATTATCAGTTTTAGAGAAAAACTTGTAATGACATTTATTCATCAGAATAAANAGTTACGGGCCGCTTATGTATGTAGCAACCCTATATCGACACAAAAAAAATATTTTGAAACAAATCCCAGTAAAAGTTAGTATTATCGGAGGCGTGAAATCCATGAGTGATGTGACTCGGGCCTCCTTACGCGCCGTCATTTTAGATTTTCGTTGTATTTCCACTACTTTCGCCAAATCGAACTTTACGGTAACGACTTATTCGATGGAGGTATTTGAGGCTATTTGGCAGCTATAAAATTGGATGAAGCAGTTCACGTGTTTGGACGTGTACGTACATATGTATTTTCTTTACGAAGTTACATATTTTGCGGATACTTTTAATTTTTTACTTGGAGTCCTTCAATATTTGACACAAAAGGGTAGAGTTTCAAACAGTCTTTTAAATAATTAAGATCATGTATATTATCTTGTTCGCAAATGCCTGTTTGCAGTCTACAGGCCTTGAATCAAAAGGCTGTATCTATATATATAAAAGAAAGTCGTGTTAGTTACTCCACTTATAACTCAAGAACGGCTGAACCGATTTAGCTGAAAATTGTCAGGGAGGTAGTTTAGAGCCAGGAGAAGGACATAGGATACTTTTTATCCCGTTCGAAATTAAAAAAAAAAGTCTGCTTATTTATTGCCATTAAGGCGGAACAAAGTTCGCCGGGTCAGCTAGTTCTTTATAAATAAAGACATGAAATGAAAAACGTGATCCAGGACAATCGTCCCGCGTAATTCTAATACGTACGTAGCAAACATTTACCCGAGTAAGCCGTATAAAGATATTTATGTGGATTGTTGGTAGCCTACTGCATGTTTGTATTGGCAGGCGGCTCTGCGTTTAGTTTACGGTAATGTTGTTTAATCCATTACGTGAGAGAGCAGTAGTAATTTTTCAACCGGAATGGATGGAAGGAACGTTAAAGAAAAATAGTTCCATCATCATTTTGATATAAGGTTTTCCCATTTAATATTCTAAAATTATCATGACTATGCTATCATCATTACGACTGCAAACATAAATAATACACAAATGAAATAAAACTCTTTGTTATCTCTCTAATTACTGACATGAAAGACAAGGTAAAAAGAAAAAAGAAAACTTAAAAAGAAATGAAAGATAAACAGCCAGTTACTCATAAAAAACCTAACGCGCATCAAAAATGGACGGTGGGAAGCGTTCCCGAATAAAATATAAATAAATGACGTCGTTTAAGCGTTAATTTACTTTATGGCCGTGTAAGCGATGAGTGGTTGGAAGCTTTTCATTAGAGTAAAACCCTGAACTAGGTGCTCGGGAACATGAAGTGGGATGGCCGCGTTTGTTATTGTTCGTTTAAAAAAGTAGTATTACGCTTACATTTAAGGCTGAGATTTTGTAAATTCTACACAATGACGTCCCTTTTCAAAAGTTACTTGCTGTTTATCGATTTCAAAGCTTTCAAAGTTAACAATCATAATTATTATAATTGAAAACTAATCGGGTTTTCACGGAAATTAAGTGTGAAGTTGTTCATCTTCCCAATAGTGTTTGCTACGAAAATTAACACATTTATCCACAAAAATACGCTTGGCTTTTTAATTAGGGACTTCTTAATTTCAAAGTGATAGCATTATGCATTAAACTATTCGAAACACCTCCGTGGGTATGACCACAAAAAATATTCAAAATGCAATTCTAAACTTTGAATAGTCCTAGCGAGAATAAGTTGACAGTTCGCGATACTGTTGAACTATTTGCGCATAATTGATAGAGTACAGTTTGTGCAATCTATTACGTATGACTATTTGCTGAGTCAATACGGATTGGCCCGTCGAAGCACACGGGCATGGTGTACCTACCATGAGTTTACGTTAGGTGTGCTCGCTAGCGAGTACGTCAAAAATCTCTATGAAGATTTTGTTTCTTGAAAGTAGCCGCTAGGGGCGCTGCACAATATATCATACAATTAATGTCATTCTTTTACGCAGTCGCTAGCGAGCACATCTAACGTAAACTCATGGTAAGCACACGGGTCTCAAGTTGTCACCGGGTGACGTGGATGTACGAGTATCATCTGTGCTTCGGCAGTAGATAGAGCGCTATCAACATGTTGCCACATTAACGATACTTGATGGACAGACGATTGTTTGATAAGTATATCGCATCATAATTGAGCTTGTTTGGTGTTTATTTTTGTGTAGTGTTTCACTAGAACACAATGAATGACGCAACATGCGTGGAACAACGAATAAAGAAATATCGGGATTTCAAGCCAAAAAGATCTTACCAAGAAAAATCTTTTCTATTTCTGCTCTCAATTCTATTTTATTATTATAGAAGCGGTATAACTATGTATAAGGAGGAAATTGGATACAAAATACACGTATTCACATTCAGTATAGAGCTTTTGTCCGAAAATAACTATAATATGTACCAAATAAAATGGAAAATGTGTACAATTCCACTGTTCAAGTTTCAAGTTAAACAGTTGTGGTTATGGTTCCAACAGGTTACAGCTAATTAGTGGATGAAGCAGAAATTAAATACGTATTACGAAACAACCCACTTTATTTGCTTTAAATTAACGATTTAGTTTTGTTAACTTATTATTTATTTCGTTTAAATGCATTTAAACGGTAGCTCGCAATGGCATTGGAGAAATGAACCCTCGTACCCTTAAATCCACTTAGTTGTATATGGGTTTTCATTAGAGCAATTTTATTTTGCTCAACCTTGTGAAATTTTCGATGTGGATATACCTAGATAAATACTTTAAAAAAACGTTGTTTTTTGTTAAATGATCAAATGGAATGTTATCCTCGACATGACTGAATGCAAACCGTGAGAGACACAAAGGCCTTTTTGGCTCATTCATGGCTATGTTCTGTGTACTTACCATGAGTTTACATTAGGTGTGCTCGCTAGCGACTGCGTAAAAAATGACATTACTTGTATGACATATTGTTCAGCGCCCCTAGCGGCTACTTTCAAGAAACAAAATCTTCATAGAGATTTTTGACGTACTCGCTAGCGAGCACACTTATCGTAAACGTAGGTACACAGTTCGTGCACAAGCGTACCAAAACCCAATTTATTGCCATTAAAAAAGGAAAATCCAAATAATAAAAAAAGTTAAAAAGATAATTATTACCTGCGCGATGAGTTTCTGCAGCTCTTCGTTTTCTTTCACGAGCTCCCTGTAGCGTTCTTCATCGGCTGGGGCGGAGCCCGAGCCCGAGCCGCGGCCGCTCTCGGCGCGCTCCGTGGGGTGCCGGATCACCTCGATCACCTGCGCCACCGTTTGGCCGAATACTAATATTTAGCAGCGGAATTCATGCCTCGTCCAACATTGGTCATTGGGATCAAATATTGGAGCCAATTTATCGTATTGGACATAAATGTTACCAAATGTCCTTTGAGAGTTATGGTGACTTTGAGCTCACTTTTGTACTTAAGTTATTAGTTATGTGAATAGAAAATAAAATATGTGGATGGGAGCCAATGTATGATTCAATGTATGGACGTGGCATATACGAGTATTATGTGTGAGATGAAAAAATCTGAAACTTTCGGAATGTGTTCTACAGAATATGGATAAAAAGTAAAGCAAAGAGTAAAACATAATTTTACAAATATTGATGCTTTATTTGTTGCCAATAAATATTTGCAATATTTATTACAGTTGGATCAACAAATAAATTCTGAGAATGTACTTTGCGAATGTTTTTGTAAAAGGTTGAGTTCTTCGAACTTTTTATTCACAAAGAATTTCTAAAATATTTTTCTGAACTGTATAATTAACTTTTACTTGGTAAATGAAGTTCACAAACCAGATACAATAAAATAAAATAAATCTGAGTAATCTCAAGTGACAAATTTATTTGTCCGTAAAGCTTTCTATTTATTTAAGGTGTTAAAATTAAATAGGACAGTGATTTCGAAAAGGTATTTTCAATAAAGTGTCATGTACGGTTAAACTCTTTCGAATGGGATAATCCAAACTAAAAAAACCCATACTTACTAGATTAGCCATACCCCATGTCATAAACAACAGCTATTTTCATTTAGCGCGGCGATTCTTTCAAACGGCAAGTAATGCGAATTCCGATGACCGAGGTAAAAGACTATTGGAATTTAGAAGGCCGTTTATTATATGGATTGCCCTAATACTCGCCCCCAGAGAATAGGCCAAATGATGGGCTGACATTTTGTAGGAAATAAAGCATTCTTATCTTTTTAAACCACTGGCTCACAAAACCGTTAATTGTGTGAAATCAAGTGAAAACAACGTATATCTTAAATGCTGGGAACATTAATCCTTAGTACCGCAAACTTTTGCAGCTATTAACCTTAATGTCACATTCCACAAAGTTTGCATTAATTTTGTATTACGTCACAGGCACTCAGGGCGCAATAATCCGCCTTTCCTGTTTCGGTCTTGTCACTAAGTACTTATATAAACTTGATTATGTCTACGGTAAATAAAGGAAAATAATTTTGGATAATAATTTTGTACATTATGTTCTGTTCTGTTGGATGTACACTTTTATGGAAAAAGTAACATAAGAAAATTAATGAACTAAAATTATGCTTTACGATAAAATCAACACGAGTTTATTCGATCCTTTGAAGCGATAATATTACTGGTTTCATAATTTTTTTCAAAAACAAAGACTCAATTTTTCAAAAATGTACACTAATATGGATATTTTTGATAAAAATGAATGTTAACCGGGCTTAATTAATTATTCACTATTTTTAGATAAACCAAATTTGAAAATTAAGCCTGTATTAAAGCAAGGTAATTTTCACAATACTACATAATTTTGTGTCAGAATAATGGATTACTCTGGAAGTGCGAGGTAGATTTACAAATTCCAAAACTGAATTTCATAATGGAACCTAAATGGTATTTTAGTTAATACTTAGCTATGCTCTAAATAATAACAATGGATGGGGATTGCATTTCAGCGATTCAAATACTCCAAATAGGTTTGTTAGGCCGCATATTTATAGCTAATTTAAATAAAGTCTAGTATCTATTAGATTTTCCGCCTTATCTATGAACTAATTAATTTACAGATTAATTACTCATCACACCAACATTTGCCCCGGGTTGGAGCCCGCAACCGCAAATGGCGTTCAAAGTCGATACGTATAACAAAATATCTATATTCCTAATACTGACAATATTATAATTATTGCTCACTGAAATAATGGTTTTATTATTTACATGGTATAATTACAATAACTCATTGGTATACTCAAAATCAATACGATATCAGTATCCAATAGCATGGTACACGTTACAGATATTGTACTGTGTAATTATTTATTTATCTGTAATGATTGTGGTCATGTATTTTGAAGCATAGTTTCATGATAATGGAATATTAACTATTACGGAATCAATAATGAATGTAAGCCAATACGTGTCTAAAATTAATTAGAATTGTACTAGTATATCATTGGTGAGCTAATAAGCGACAGCCCAACGTTGTCGGTGTCGGACTACTGATTAAGTAGCTCGATACCTCGCTTAGTTTAACTGGAGGGGTTTACGGGAAAATTAGTAATATGAACTCTACAAAGTATGTAATAGGGGAAACCTCCAGTCATTGGCCAAAACACAGTCGAAGCATATTATTAGGGGTGGTCTAAAAACGGGACAACTGTTCTAACAATGTTTACATTAATATGGTTTGACTAGCGGGCCGCCCGCGACGCGTCTTTCCGTTCTATACATAGCCAGAACGCAAGGGTGTGAAACTAATCGAGTATAGTTTGGAGATGACTTTTTTTACTAAGCTCCTCCAAACTATACACGACCAGTACGCATATGCTGCGTACTGCTCGCGTATACTTTGTAGTGACTTAGGTCAATTATCTTACTCCAAAATATACATCGCCAGTACGCATACGGACTAATCATGTATGTATTGTAATAAGTGCGTGATTACAATTTATACGCGAGTAGTTGCATGCTAGTCATTTTGTGTTATTGACCTCTCTTTCTATTACATATTAATTCATATCTGCGTGTCTACTTTAAAAACATTGAATCATCCTTCGACACGTATTCTGCCATAGAAAAGATATTTGTTTTGGGGCTGATATTTAATTTTCACCAATTCTCGAATAACTCTTAAATTAAGAATTATGTAGGTATGGAAATATGTCAAAATGATTTTGTTCTTGAGATAAAAGTTAATAAATAAAATAAATAATAAATAAATATCCTTAGACATTTTACACTGCGCTTCTAGTCCCAAACTAAGCAAAGCTTTACATAATACTAAGTATTAAACATACATACTTAAATACTTTTTTTTTGTAAATACATACTTACTAGGTATACATAGAAAACACCCAGTCCAATACAAACAAATATGTTCATGCACACAAATGTTTGTACTGTGCGGGAATCGAACCCGCTACCTCCGGAATAGGAGGATTCCGTCAACTGGGACCGCAATTAACTGGGACCGCGGTCCCAGTCGCCGGATGCATAAAAATTAAATAATTTTCTTCCGGCGACTGGGACCACTCATGGATTTTAGTACTGTACCGATTTTGGATTGAATAATATTTTCTTTAAAGTTATCTATGAGTGGTCCCAGTCGCCGGAAGAAAATTATTTAATTTTTACGCATCCGGTGACTGGGCCCGCGGTCCCAGTTAATTGCGGTCCCAGTCGCCGGAAGCCTCCGGAATGAGGAAGTAGTCCGTTTCGAACCACTACACCAAACGGCCGATAATACAAACCTAGCATTTAAAGTCTCGCATAATGCACGTTGAACTTTCTTCTCTCACTCTCTCTCATTTTAAATGAATTTATGATTACACTAATAATTGATAATGAATTTGAAATCTACATAATCAATTTAATTTCAAAAACCACTTACAATAGTGTTAAAAATCTAGATTTATTATAGATTCAGTAAAATAATAATATTTTGAGTAATACTATCGAATAAATGTAATTTTAAATATAATTCCATATTTTACTAAATCAATATCAACTAAACACACTCTAGTCAAGTGTAAGTGGTGTAGTAGAAACTAATCGAGTATAGTTTGGATATGACTTTTTTTACTAAGCTCTTCCAAACTATACACGATCAGTACGCAAAATTCGTGTATAGTTTGGAGTCACAGTCTTACAAACGGGCACTACAAAATATACACGAGCAGTTTCCTATGGGTGCGTTCTGGCCATGTATAGAACGGAAAGACGCGCCCGCGACTTCGTACGCGTGGATCCCGTTTTACCCCCTTCATCAATCTTACGCGGCTTAGATTTTTTCATACAAATGTTTTTTCCCGCTAACTCCCGTTCCCGTGGGAATTTTGCAATATCCTGTTGTAACTAAGCTTTAACTTTACTAAGGTACCTGCATGCCAAATTTCAAGCGTCTAACTTAAGCGGTTTAGACTTTTCATACAAAAGGATTTTCCTGCTTATTCCCGTTCCCGTGGGAATTCTTAAGTATACCTGCCCAGGAGTATGAAGAATAATTGTACCAAGTTTCGTTAAAATCCGTCAAGTAGTTTTTGTTTCTATAAGGAACATACAGACCGACAGACAGACAGACAGACAACAATTTTTACTGATTGCATTTTTGTCATCAGTATCGATCACTAATCACCCCCTGATAGTTATTTTGAACATATATTTCATGTACAGAATTGACCTCTCTACAGATTTATTATAAGTATAGATAACGTTTTGTCCAATGACTGGAAGTTACCCTACTTTAAAAAAAAATCCAACTTCACCGATACTAACCTTAGGAATAAATATCAAGGCCATGCTCAAGAAGCAGCAAAACACGATCGCCAGCGAGACGAACGCGAACGCCGCGTCTTGCTGGCTCGCGATCACCAGGGTCACCGGAGCAGTGATCAAACACAGCACCACCACGTTGTAAATGCTCATCCCCACGTAACGCGAGTCGTTGATCTGACGCACCTTCACCGACCTCGTCTCGTACGCCAAAAACAACCCAAACACCAACACCAACCCCTTATACCCATACATCACCCCTACAACAAAACAAATTAACGTCAAACGACATAATGAAGACGCCAGCTGTTATTAACGACTTCAAAAACTTTTAAATTTCGCTCACCAAGTTTACGGTCGCAAATGAGACGGTGGACTTGCAAGACAGAGATTTACAAAACGTAATTTATTGTTTACTGGACTTTAAATTACCTCATATTAAAGCTCATCTTTCGTAATTACAGCTGTTAGCGTTTTAGTGGTAGGCTCAAATTGTTGTTGTTTCATTTTTAAGAGCAATTAAATGTGGGTCTGATGTTTATGTAAGCATAAATTTTCATTTTAAATAACGTAGTAAAACTCTAATTGACGTTGGTAAGCTTTTCAATATGGATTCATAGAACAGCTTAAAGTTTAATGTGTAATAAACTGCAGCTTCATTATTATTGTTAAGATTAATTTCAGTTATTGGGAAATTCACTACTGAGTCAGTAATTACAGAAGATAAATAATGATTATTGTTTTGTTTGTTGTTAATAATTTACTGGATACTTACCAAGCCATACAGTGTTATGTTCACTTTCACAGTGTTCCAGCTCCGGCCTTATGTGAACATCATCATCGTGGTGCCTTGGGGCTTCAAGAGGGAATATCTCAACCCTCCTCTGCAGAGGGTCTCTTAGCTGCCATGCAGTCAACAAAGCTGCATCCACTACCAGTAGACCTCCCACCATTGTGTATAATTTCCAACCGTGCATACGTTTCTGGTGAAAAAGGTACCATGTCAAAAACTTTGATAATTCTCTATAATGATGAATGGAAATTTTCGTGTGACTTGTAACAAATGAGTTCACAACCTCGGTGTCAAACTTTATGAGTTCTAAACTTATTAAATATAATATTGTTGAGTCCAGACATCTTTGAAATTTTAGCTTCGAAACTGGATCGGAGATTTATAACGAGCAATAAAAAACAGTCACAAAGACAGATTGGATTACGTCTCCAGCTAACATAGATTATTAAAAAGTTTACTACAGTACACGAGTAAAGGGAAACAAATAAAAACAAGTATCAAGAAAGCAAATAAAAATGCCTCGAGACCTTCTACGTTTTATGTGACTTATTTATCTTTGGTAAGCTGATGTATGTATGGTTTTTTGGTTATAATGGGTTATGAGTTTGGGATCATCGTGCATGAATATATTTTACTGTTTTTACATTTTAAAAGGCTACTAAAATGAACCTACAGCCGTATATCTATTTAACTCTTCATCAAATCTGATAAAAAAATATTTAAACTTTATTTCAATTTGCCTAAAGCAATTTAACAGCACACGGCTTGAGTTACAAACGTGGCAGTATACGTGGCATCATATTTTACCTACTTGTCATTGTTTCATAGAAAAAATCGCTAGCTTTCAACTTGGTAGCTACGAGTAAGTGCCGATGTAACACACAAAAATAATCCAATTACCTTAGTGTCCGGTTTAGGTTTGGTAGTGTGTCTGTGCACCCGCCAGACCTTGGTGAACATGGCCCCATATGCCATGGAGAAGCCGGTGGCCAGCAACCAAGCCCGAGCCGCACAGAGCCCCGCAAAATGTTGTGGCTGCACCCAGCGGCCGTCGACGCCTAGGGCCACTGCTGCACCCAAACAAATGCAGCACCCGCATAGCATCACCGTGTTGCACGCGGGATGAGACCATTGAATTACCCTAAGACAATATAGCCTGTTAATATAGAACCCTGCGAAGTGCTATGGCTGCACCCAGGTCCAGTCGCATCGCCCGTCGATTCCTAAGGCTAGGCAGATACAGCACCCGTATATCATCACCGTGTTGCACGCGGGATGCAACCATTGGGTTACCTCATAAAATATTATTATTATTTAAGTTCGGCTATTTACTTAAAATACATATAGGGTGCAATTTTATTCAAGCTATTGCGTATATGTGCGGTTTTATTCAAGCTACAACTTGAATAAAATTTCACTTTATTCATTCGATATTAAATAAGTTTTTCCTTCACTATCAAAATAAATCATCCAAAATTATTGAACACTGTGTACCTAAAAGTAACCACTTTGACTATCGAACGAAGGAACGGAAAAAAATGGTATATCATATTTTATTTACTTATTTATCATTTGAACCTACCTAATATCAACTTGGTTAACAAAATCACTTAGTTACATTCTACATAAAAAAAAAACTTTTAATTATGTCGGACAGAACGTATTAGGAAGATCCCTTGGGATATTTTAATATGCTTCGTTTTCGAGGAAAGATAAAGAAAATTACTTTTGTTTTGTATGTATTATCTTCCATTACGGATAAGCCGAACAAGTTATACCTCATTACGATGAAGTTAAATGAGGTAAAAGATAAGATCCTAACAAAAAGAAAACTTATACAGACTTTTAATTACATTGAGATTAAGTATTCGAACTATGAACTTAAGAGATTTCCTTCGGGCTTACAATTTTAAATCCAGTCAAGTGAAAATATGGATCCTATCCTATCTCCGTATTAGACAGTATTTTACTAAATTCATGTGGAGTGAAATGTTTTATGAGAACAATAACCCAAACACGCCATGTCAAAAGTAGTTTGAACAAATACGAGTAAAATTATTCCAAAGGATTTATTTCCTGCAGTTCCTTTAGCGCATAACTTTAGCAGGAAAACTGAAGTTTTTTGAGTGAATAAAGAATATTTCAAACAATGCGAGATCGTCGAAGTCAATTTTACCTTAAAAGGCGTTCAGTGTTACTGTTGAATAGAAATTAACCTCTCGAGATTGGGGCGGCATGAGTGACTTTCTTAGCTCTCGGTTTACTCTCAATTGCCCTAATCTGGCGGTAAGCGCCTTATAGCTACTACCCATTAACCTTTTTACGTCTGCTTATTACGTATTTTATCAATCGAGACTCAGTTGTAATTAATGTAGGTAAATTGTAAGCCTTGGTCATTATGCTAACTAAACTGCGATAAAGCGAGAAGATTTAAGATTGTTCACTTATTTAGAGTATTTAATTTTAACTGATTATCAAAGTACTCGTAATTGTTGATAACAGCTGCTATTGGATTATATGGAACTAAATGTTCAAACTCTACAATCGCTATTTTAACTTTCTAGCGCTCGACGTCAAATATTCGAATATTTTCAAAATACTTTTGTGTTCAAACCACTTCCCTATCAATTAAAATTCGATAATAAACGCTGTTTTGAGAAACAATAACAATCACAAGGGCTGTGAACAATATTTAGCCAGGGGAATTAACTCGATTACTGACGAGACCCACGTCAATAATACTCGGTTACTCACCTGGCCATCGGACGTTGATGAAGGTATCGATAAAACGATCAAATTCTAACATCTTATCTTACGGTACCCAGCCGAGATGTTACGGAGAAAAAAGTATGAATAATATAGATGGAATACCAAAAAGTATGATGATATTTTCTTATGTTTTTTTAGGTTTATTCCACAGACTACAGGTTGTGTGGTCTGTGGATTATTATCTAAATGAATCAAAAGACGGTTTAACTAATTACTACAAAAGTGCGTAGGTATGTAAATAAGGCACCTACTCCTCTCGCTCTATCGCAGGCGACTAAATGAGTTTTTGATACCTACTTGACAACAAGCTAAGCAATATTTCACTTCAGAATAGCCTAGCTAGTGGTACTTATTACATACACAAGTCTTCGTTTTCGTTATTGATTTACTCATATGTAGTACAGAAAATAAAAAGATAAATTGGTATATTTATTACGACAGGTCGGTTAGGAGTAGGTATTCCAATAGTTACCAGTTGAGTTATGACTTGGGGACAGAAACAAATAAGACGCGTAGAAAAATAAGTGAGATAGAACTCGACACACTGACAGGGCAATCGAATTTACGTAGTCATTTGTTTTTTTACTTTGTAGGTGTCCTACGTGGAAATATACGCTAAGCTAACCCAAGTGAAAAAGTTCGTGAATTGATATTTTATTTTATTTATTCGATTTTCGTTCGATACGGTACGGTAGGTAATATAATTGGTTCACGTCGTAACTAATGGATTTTCAATATGGGTAAGGATGATAAACAACGGAAGAAAATTTCTTCATATAAGTGAAACTTCATGGTAGTAACCTTGTTTATGAGCGGAAATTAACGGTGTACAAAAGCGACAGCGCACTTACCTCCTGTGTCGGTGCAAGATATTGAAGACTATTAGTGCAATGGCGGCGAGTATACCCGCGATGCACAGCGCTGTCATACACGCAAACAACGGCAATGAGACCGTCCTCAGTTCATTCACCACCACCGTCCGATCAGGAGGTACTTTCCCACCTGCCAAAAAGAAAAAAACCTATTTCATGCCCCAATAAACATCTCTATAAAACCGTCGTAAAATAACAATAGGATTACAGCACACCGCTTTAAGAATTAGAACGACGTCCGTCAGTAAAATATATCAAGTGGAAGACGACAGCGAAAATAGCTAAAGCCAATATTTTCTAAAGCACGCGATTGACATAAAAATCTATCGTTCAATATATCAATCTTCGGCGGTGAATGCGGATACTTAAGTTTTCAGTAATAGCGCAGTACCGTTCGCAAAAAATATAAATAGGGCGGTAAAAACTGGTTTTGCTTTTCATGATATCGTTAGAAAATCAGGATTTTAAAATGTACAGTTTATTCTGAGAAAAAGTATGCAAAGAAATCTTAATTGTGGTATGAAATTTTTTTTTTGTTACAATAACTTTGATCTCTTTTAAAAGTAAATTACTTTTTCTTCTTGAAAATTTTAGTAGTAGCAAACCTTAGCAACTAAATCTTCACAGACGATACCCTTAAGCAATTTATCGTAAAAGAATTTTCAGACTTGCTTTTGTAACAATGTTTCCTAAAATATCTGATACCACAAGGTACTGTTTCTAAGAGCCACCATTTTGTATATTGGGTGAAAATATGCCGTGTTTTCTTTCTAAAATCCTTTACAGGATATCGTTTTGCGTTTAACATTTTGGTGAATGATTTTATAATTAATTAAGAAAGTGAAATAATTTTTAGGAAGGCCATAGGTATTAGTGTCCTTACGTGAAGGTATAAATTTATTAAGGATGGAAGTAGGTACCTACAAAAAATCCCGATTTTCGTTGAACATTTAATAAAAACTAATCACTCGAGACGCCTACTTTATGGCAGGAGCTTTTGTGAAAAAGAATTTATTATACTCGTACTGTGCGGAATCACTTGGAGTCGACAGATGAAATAAATCAAGTGAGATCTTTTTACACCCTTGAACGTAGAGCTTGGAATTTTGAATTAAATTAATGATAGAGCGTGGACGAACACTTCCTCATTTCATTTTAATGAATTTATATGAATATTTTCCAGCTGCTTTCCATTTTGTCTCTGAAAAGTAAATTGTTTTGATATTGCATTTTTTTCCGTTATCAAATATTTATTCAATGAAATTTTGTATTTATTATCATATATTATCTTTTCATACAGTAAAATTAAAGTTGAAACGTTTTTCTTAATGTATGTTTGTATCAAACTAATTTTCTTTGGTTATCAAAATCTTATCCTGATTCTGTATTGCCATTGTATTACGGCATACATTTTCAAACCACGCTCCTACTCGTAATAATTTTCAATGTGGAACGTCGCTCCGCCATCTACGCTAGTGAGTCGCGGGGTTTATATTATCCCCTGTAAGTTCTTTTGCCAGGAAGCGAAAATGGGACTAGGTGGAGTAATGCGTCCCCTGAACGTTGTTTTTCGCAAAAAGTGACAGTGTACTTTCGCGGGTGTAATCCTAGTTTCATTTGGGGTCCCACCTGTAACATAAGGTGCTCTTATAAAATGTTTCCTCTCATTTATTCAGGTTACGGTAGTTAGTTGGGAGTTATAGCCGATTTAAAGTGTTCAGGAAATCCAGACCTTTTGTTAATGTAATACCTATGCTTTTAAAACCAACCGTGTTACATGAAATGTGTTTTTATATGATTAAAGATAACAATATTATTATTTATATCATGCTTCGTTGGAACAAAAACTCATAATTTATAGTTTACTACGGTCATGTTCGTAGCATTTTCGTAGTAGTTCGTAGCATTCTCGTAGTAATACGTAGAATTCTCGTAGTTACAGCATATTCGTGTTAGTTCACAGAAACCTAGGTTTAGAAGCTAAATTTTTGATATTCGAAAATGCCATTAGTGTAGTCTGATTGATGAACAAAATCAGTTTGTGTTTTATTTAACCTTAAAGAGTTACACAACAGCTTACGTAATAAAAAAAAGTAATAATAGCCAGGCAATTTTGATTTGAAATATAATTCGCCATTAGCAGAGCATAGGTATAGTTACAATAATGCTTACAGCATCCGTTGGCTAAAAATAACAATACACGTCTTGAAAGGTGAAGTACCTTTTTTAACCCACGCCTATGTTATTTCTGATTCCATAAAAGAACAATAATTAAATAAAGGAAACAAAGAACATGACCGCTGCAATATCGTCATACATAACTTATTAGTAATCTGTGATCATACCGTCACACATACAGTACATTTTGAAACTTATTATGTCGCTGCATATTATGTGATTTTTCCTCGCTTACTCTCGCGTAGTCGCTTGTTTTAGGCCTGGTTCAGAAACGCGCGAGGGACTGAGGCCGTGCGGTTACGATTTGATGCAAATCTACGAGAACTGCGCGCGGCTAATGCTTTGTCTGAACTGGGCCTTAAAACCCCGGAGTCGATCGTCAGAACTTTTATAAATAAAAAAATCTGAATTTTACCAAAATAAATAAAGGTTGCTGTAGCTACTTACCAACCCATCGTTCCCTGTCGAGCCACGTGAGGTTATCTGCCTGCGTGTCATAGTAGCCCAGCTTCACATAGTGGTTGTCAGCCAACTGCTCGATTTGCGTCAGTGCGATCCGGTCGCCTTGCGACGAGAACGCTACTAAACCCTAAAATTGGAACAGTCAATATTTAGCGAACAATTTGACCTACTCAGTTGACATAGGCCGGGGATCTTTCGGTGTGGAGGGTTGAATCTTCAAAGTGTTACAGTGCTGTGATAGAGTTAATCCTATATTTAAAGTTGGCAACATTAATTGTATTCACGTTAACTGCAGAACATGCAGAAATGTTACCTGCAAAACATGTTTTCGTTTACTTAGACATAAAATGACAATTAAATGTGCCTTCTGTGCAAGGCTCAAAATTTGTTCTTTATTTAGTAAGTAAGTAGTTAAGGTAGTATTTTTTAAGAAGCAAAATGTAAGCCTAACATGTGTCATTAACTAAGCTCAGAAGCACTTATCGCATAAGTTGTAAATAGGTAGTTGGATAAGTCTTATCCAATTATTGATTTAACATAAAATCAAGAAGACAGCATTATTTTATTACATTTCAGCGATAAAACTATTCTTAGCCAGTGCTTTAGTATTATCTGTGATTTAGAAACTTATGTTATAAACGACTGTAGCTGAACTGGCCATAAAATTCGCCGTAGTCAATCGGAACTATGAACATTTATTTGAAATTGTGTTTTATTGTTATTTAGTTGAGACACGAATTTAAACGATGCAACCTATTTTAAGTATTCTTTTAAGGTCAAACCGTTTATGGGTTTTTTATTTCATTAATTTTAGAAAGTGAATAAATATTGTATCCAACAATCAGATCTTTTCTTGTCTTGTGTGGTGTACAATAAGTGTGTTCTATAAATTTCTATCAGTGGTATACTACTTATAAGTATAAGGTCAGTACAGACGACACCATACAAAGTGCAGTCTTATATCGCTGCAATACAGGCTATTTTGCAACAAAATGTATAAGTCTGATGTGCTGTCGACTGTCGTTTAAAACAGAACACCTAATTAAATTAGAAACGCACAAACACGAATTACGGACATCAAAGGGAATTGTTAATTAATTCGGTGTACTTAATTTACAACAGAATTAACCACTTTATACAAATTACGTTTCTCTTTGCATTTGTCCATCTGCATTGTCATGTCTTGTAAAGTCTAAATTTCAGAAACCAAATTAGGTGTTTATTGCTATAGTCTGGTCGCGCGTAATTATGTTGCTGTCGCTCTTGCACACTCACTGCAGGCGCACGTTGCACAGTCGCGACAGCAATATAATTACGCACGAGCGATAAGGATGGGTAGCTTGGGGTCATTGGACAAAATTCTACGTGCTTACAGACCGGGCTTTAGACGAGAAGACGTGGGGCTTCCCATGAAGACATAGGTACAGTTTTTTAAAGGTAGGTATTGTTTTTTGCAGGATCCTGTTTAGTAGTATAACGTGTTTTATTATTGACATTCACACGAGCATCCCGTTTTCCCACAAAAGAATCCGTTTGAATTTGGAATTCGAATATCAAACACACGCTGTGTGTTCACACGACAGTCCAGTTTTGGGGTCCTATATTACTGGATCCCTCAAAACTGGATGACCGTGGGAAAGGGTCCGAAGCCTGGCAATTCGTTTGAAAAATATTTTAAAGAAAAATGATTTGCATTTCCTACGTCTAAGCCCCATGAAGCTGATGATGGTTATTTTGCAATTTATAAAAAAATCCCTTTAAATCAGGGATTGTTGTTAAGTCGCCGGACCCAGAACACACGAAAGATGTTGCTCGCGAAGATTTCTTTATGAATCTTTCATAACTGCCCTGAGTAGACCTTATACAAAAATGCGCTTATGAATTATGTATTTTGATATTTCATTCAAAGATAAACAAAATATTTATGCCTAATTTACTTTGATGTTTGCAAAAAAAAAAACGAACGGTTCGTCGTTTGGTTTACTACCAATTACATAAAATCGTATTAAAAAATACAGTAACTATGTATACTGTATAGTCACCTCTACTCAGATATGCATTTCGTAGGTGTTAGCTGTGGTACCTATTTGTTACCTAATTTATATATTATAAGCAGACTATATTATTATGTTACGAGTAAAAGTGAACTGTTAATTTTAATACCACACTTACTCATAATAATGTGGTATTGTTATCTGAAATATAATAATTTAGACCCAAACTTTACTACCTACTTAGTTTATCGGGACTCGAAATGACTTAGCAATCTTAATAAAGTATAAGTCTGAATATTCAATGGACCTGCGATTCCAGTTGCCTTTACACTTCCCCGGACTTGACGTGAATTCGTAAACAGTCTGTCGATTTTGAGACATTTATTCTCTCGCTAATCTGATTTCTGTGTTTCAGACTATACAGTTCAGTGTTGTGTTACGCACTATGTATTTTGCCACGAGTCTGCAGATTCCGCTACCATATGTAAGCTTTTACGAATTCCCATTTGAAACCAAACAGTTGCATTTTATGGTTAATAAAAACAACCTTATCATTCACGGCGACCAATAAAGCACAATGCAATGTTTACGTGACGCAAAACAAATAAACGTTGCCTTACGTGTGGAGTTATGAGCACACAAGAAATACCCAGTTACGTTTAAAGTGTCAAGTTATCGTGGTCGGCGTTTGAATACATTTGCAATTTAATTTAGTGAGCGGTTTACAAAACAAAAAGCGTTGGAATCCTGAAAAGTTGGCCGGGCTCAGCGAGGAACAATGTAACTTTGAACAATGACGAACTTTAATGCCAACCACTCATAGCTAAGGAACGCAAAGTGCTGCTACTTACCGATACACCGAGGAATGATGTAGAATTTATTGCCTCGTAGATGTCGTCCGCAATCTTCTTGTTGGTGTAAGTGAAATTTTTCAAACTCAACCCACTTTTCTCCAGCTTCTCCATTGTCTTGTTGAACGCTACGGATGCAAATTATTCACGCGTTAAAATTCAATGGACGATCTTAATCTAATAACAACTTCCAGCTTTAATTTAGTTTAGTTGACTTTAAACAAAGGAATTAATCGAATAGATTGGGTAATGTGCGAAGTTAAATTGTTGAAGTTAACTGAGCGTTTTATAAGGGCACTGGAAGTTAGCGGGCGCCCTAACTGTAGTTGAGTCTGGGATCCAGGAAATTGAAAACTCCGGAATCTGGGCCTTTATGATGTAGACTTGCGACGTGTGGCCACAGGCGGTATAATTAAATTTTCGGGCTTGGTTCAATAACATTTGCAAGAGTGTGTACTCCTTGCAAACTTTGGACCTCCCTGAAATAATAACCTTCCATTTCTGAGTAAACTGTTTCAGTGGAATAGAAAAAAGGATGAAAACTGTCTTGAGGAAATGACAGCTACTTTTCCTAGAAAATGTCACATTGGATGAGAAAACTTTTCAAGAATTTGATATTTTACAAATTCATTTCATTTCATAAAATGTGATAGAAAAGATGTTGTCAGCGTATTTACTAGTATTTTGTAGATTAGTTTGGTTGTGAAATTAATCATAATGCTGATGATTAATAAGCACGGTTGAAGCTTATGAGCAAATTAGTTAATCATTTGCGGCGGTCGGTAGTTGATTAAATGTCCGCAACATCAACGTAGATTAACATAACTATCATCATAGTAATCATTACTCAGTAATTAGTTATAGGTGTATAAGCTCATTAACTGAATTGATTACGTTTTATATCCCTCCTTTCATCCGTAATCCATTTTCATTACACAGCTTATTTATAGAATAACAAAATAGTACATTGTACGAACTCAGAGGCAACCATCTTACTGGTGATTCTTGTGAAACATCTTTATGAATAGTTTAATACGAGATAGATAGTCAGTTTTCTTATAAAATGCTCGCGCAACGAATGCTAATAAACCAAATTCGCTAAGCGAATACCCTCAGTGTGTTCCTTGTTCCTCCCTCCTTGTTGTTTATCGGTAATATGAATTTTATCGGCAAATAAGAGCTCTTTCAGATTACCGCGATTATTGGCGCCTTGAAATATGCGCTACATTTTGTGTTTCAATAAACCTCTCGCGTGTTCCTTAAAAGAGTCAGTAGGCTTACTAAGCTAGCGTGTATATGCCCTTACAAAAACAAGTTTAGCTTTGTCACAAAACCGCTTATCTAAAAGAGCTCTTAAAATAATGTACAGTAAAGGCAATATTTGAGTAATATTACCTAAAGCAACGGCCCACACTGCGTCATATGCCAGGGGCGCCTCCTGGTAGCCCTCGGGGTACCGCTCGCCGTCGATGTCGTAGCCCGCCTCCCGGAGCGCCTCGTTCAGTCGTGATCTGTTTGCACAAACAAACAATTTTCCAGTCTTGCCTCTGTTTTCACTCTAAAAGATATGTCACGGACATGTCCGATTTTCCGAGCACATACCCTGAAAAATTTTATTTATGTCCAATACAGAAATAAACTTCCGTTAAAATTCTCTATTCATGTACACGGTAATGGATACGAGATAACACCATTACGCGAGTAACAAAATAATACCACGTTGAAATGTGTATTTACATACAAAATATGTTAACGTCCCACGAGATTCACAATGCCGTAGCCAGACACCATTTTCAGTAACAATTCCTATTATTAGTGCAGTAAAGGGTAACAATAGTCTCAATTTGATATTCCGATTGGAATAGCTATGTAACGTAAGCTCGGAACATAAAGGCCGAGCCGAAGTCAAACGCACACTTGACCGGTTTCATTAATGTTCTAATTTGTACGCAGCCCGTAGCCGCAAAGGATACCAACCCGTTTTATTTATGATGCAATTTTTGTTCGAAGTATTCTATAGATCTGAGGCCGCTAATGGCCAAGTTTCATGTTTCCCATTAAAGAGGAAGCGCTCTTGTTAGAACTTAGATTGGTAGTTCGAATAAAATAGCTGAGATGTTTTTATGGAGCATCTAGCCCGTTACTGCGATGCACCAGCGTTATATCTATATTGTTCGCTGAGAGCACGATGAAAATTGCCGGGAATAAGCTTTCGTAGCCCTCAGGGGATTTTCTTCAATCTTCGCTTTGTTCAAATGATGTACGTACTTACCGACGACGTCTGTTTTTACATGACAGAGTGAAAACTCAATGTAGTTGCTATGATTAAATGGATCTTCTGTATAGATAGATTAGAGGTATTTGCTTTGATGCAGTACCTAATGTTTTTAGTTGAGAACATTGTTGTGAAAGTATGATAGAATGCTCCTGCCATTAAGAACTTCAGTTTTAAGGGTTCGTTCTTATTGTTAAACACACAGTTTATTTATTTCACAAACTATAAAACTGTGAAACCATCCTATTGGATTTTATTAAGCTGCTCTATCAAAAGAGGATCACTTAATATTTCTTGGCATGAAATAATAAGCGTCCTAGCTTAACTATTCCTTCCATCTGATTATGTATTCCGTTCAGGAGCGTCAACGAGGAAAATCCCATAAAAAACTAATCGCTCGTGGCGGGAAGAAATAGGGTATGGTAGAGTCTTTTGTAGTTTCGGAGATACAAATTTTTAGTTTATTCAAATCACTGGCCTGGCTTATGTTCGCCATTAGCTGCACATTTGCCGAGCCAACGATCATCTAGACCCAACACTGCTGCCAAATAATAATGCCAAAAGCTTTGGACTATTTCGAATCGGAGTGTAGATATTTTAGTAGGTCGCTTCGGCTTCTCTGTTTGATGAAACGGATTTACTAAATATCAGTAGTTAACTACTATATCAAATTTGAAATACCTAACGAATTTTAATAATATTTGATCCAATCATAATGATATTCAAATATACGAAACTTACTTAGTTAAAAGCTTGCTGTCTGTGTTGTCCAATATAAGTTTTTATTTTCATTTTCAATGTTCAACGATTCAGTCATATGATTATATCGTTATGAATACAAATACACATTATCTTCAAGGTGCGTCTCGTAAATATACGTCAAGTGAATAAAAAAGGGTAGACACATTTAAATAAAGCTACAGCTTTACATCCGATAAGTAGCTAAGGACGAATTATTCAGACAGTAAAAGGGTAAGTGAGATTATCTTGACTAAGTCAAAACCAACTACTTATCTACTTTTTTATAAGATTTGAACACTCCAGACTAAACATCAATTAAGTCAAGGGAAGTGTATTCTCATTAAGGAGTTTTGTTTACAACACGACTTGAGAATTACTTCGTCAATATTCTCCTATACATTTTCATTATAAGTGTCGTACAAAGGATATCCGAAATTCTGTAAAGCCCGCGATAACAATAAGTGTCGTCATGAAAAGCGATAACGCGCATTTCGGCCATTTTCAACTCCCGCACGTTTGAAGAATAGAACACTTATTATACTACTCCGCGTAAAAGTTGTGACAAGCGGCTTGCACCTTATAAATGTCGTTCTCCCTGTTTTTTGGGGCTCACAAAAGAAATGATTGTCACGCAGAATTTGGAAGAGAGTAATATTACTTCGGTGTAAGTTAAAGCCAATGTTGGACTTGTTTGGGATTTTTTGTTACGTTGCGGGGCTTTAATGATTTGGAATCGATTGGCTGCAGGATCTGTCTAAACTCTTTTCAAATTAATAAGTATGAGAAAGATTTGATTTTTATACATTGTCTCATATGTATTAGCCATACAGACCTGAAGTCTTCAGAGGTCATCCCGGAGATGGTGGTCTGATTGGCGTTTTGGTTCCACATGAGGGCTTCGGTGGTCAAATGGCCCTCGGCTGCTTCTCGCATCTGCTCCACTGTGCACTCAATCCCCTCTCGCTCGAGGTTCGTTTCGAACCAGTTGTCCTCGTACCAACCTACAAAAGAATAACATTATTTAAAATGCTCTTTAAAGTTAAAACAAACCCTGAATACTATAATGTATTGCAATTTGTGCTCAAAGTGCACGAAACTGTCGTTTTTAGAATTGTTAAATTAGGTTTGTCAGTACCCCTTGCACGCGACCCGTTCAGACGCCTCTGGATCGTTTGTAAAACACGATACGGCTTTGTGTTCATTTCCTCTAGCGATGAATTGTGCAATGGGAAGTGAAGAGCGTACGTGCTATTAGTCCATAAGTCTTTACAACGCGAACGGCAGCGCGGCGCGAGCCACCAATCGTCAACACCACGTGTAATTATTCACGTTTCTGTTTTGCAAAAGTGATCCCCTCTATCTGCCGGCCCGTTCTCTCGCGCTCGCCCATTATTTATCCCGTTCCTATCCATTTCCTTTGTCCTGTTTGTTGGTAGAAGCCTGTAGCGGACAAATGTGTGTTTGCCGTGTCTCCGTTTTGCTTGCGGCTGTGTATTTTGGTTAAAGTTGCGGACAATGTTTTCTAAGTGGCAATATAACTTTCTTATAATTTTTCTGACAGTTTGAATTGGAACATTTGTCGTCCTTGTACCGTGTTGCTCGGAATTTTAAAGTTGAAATAGTTTAAAATTAGTTTTAGTTACAATTCAAGAAATTGTTTAGGTTGATAGTTATGAGACATTTAAAATTCAACCTGAGGAAGAAATATACTTTGCATATTCATAATAATTATGTTAATTATTTGGTTGAGATAAAGAAGTTCGAGCTAAGAACACCAAGAAAGCGGCAGCAATGAAGAATTTAGTTTCAAACTAGATTGCACCTTCAATTTTTAAATAAAGTTTCTACTGTATTTTAATGTCGTTTAGCTCAACAAATTACAGGGCTGGCTGTAAACTTTTTGTGACGTGTCTAATTTGCCAAAAGCGCTCGCAGAACGTTCCCTCTTTATTCTACTTAACCCTTTGAAACATTCGGGCAATGCTGTTGATCTTTTGCCTGAGAGACAGACCCTTGCATTACACGTAGAATTACTTATTAAAAATGTTATTTTGAAGGTTCCTCGCAACTTTAGTCATTACGTGAATATTTCAGATTAGTTTCTAACTGTAATGATTTTCTGTGCGTGTGTTTTTGTTACCTAATCACAAAGTTACAGTAGTGAGAAAGTTTCTTAGGCGTTAGTTATTTTGGAAGTACTCTATCACGCCTACGGATTTCGACGTGGCATTGTGGCCACATAATGAGACTTGGGACCGTCATCGGTCAATCTTCATTGGCAGTGATTCCTCCCACTGTTTCAGAGTTCAATTTACTTGATCTAATATTTATGCCTCCTAGGTCAAATTCAAACTTTATTATGTTAGTACCAGAGCATATTTTGACTTTTTATTACTCAGAAAACGGCGTGACGACACCAACTTGTAATTTAGCATTGCAATAGTGCTTTGCAATTCACTTTAGTTTTGTATGCTGACCAAACAAACTATTTGAAAGAGAGCCGAATGGATTTTGGAAAGCTGTGGTTCTCACAAAATATCCATAGGCCTCTACGCCATCCAGGCTGTAAAAAATTCGACTGAGTTTATGCATAGACGAGCAAAGTGATTGGTTCCTTTTCCTATGTAAAAAGACTGACGGAAAAAGCCAAGGTATTTTATTTACAGTGCGTAAAAATGTTGTCTTTTATAAGAATCAAATTCTAGTAATAAACGACGCATTTAATTTGACAAAATGATATTGCCCATGATTAATGATCTAAAGTTCGCGTCGTTACGCAAACAAAAGAAAATCAATTGTCTCCTGCGGCGGTTCGGTATTATTGAGGCGGTAAACACTTCTTTACGAAACATGAAAGCTTTTCGCTTATTACAATGCTTTTTATACGAAAGTGGTCGCTTCTGAAGTAATGCCCGTTTGCAAAGTGACGATATTTCACCGTAACTACGGAAGGACGCCGTTACACCATATGCGTATCTAAATGGATACACACTGCTCAGGTGAACGCAATGTGAAGGAACAGCCGAGCTCTGCACTAAACAAAAATACTTATCATCTTTATCCGAGTTTTATTGCGCGAAATGTCAGCGACATAAAAATTTGCAAACGCGAAAAATATCTTGGAGCTATTGGCGAGCGTGTCGATTATTTTTATATGAAGTGATCTCTTTAGTGGGCAATTTTATAGGTCGTAATAAAGTTTTATTGCGGAAGAGAAAAGATTCCCGGGCCTCATATTAAGGTCAAACGGACGTTGATAACCTGCCGAACTTGGGCTGACGTACTGTTGGCCGGCTGCCAGCGGCTGGGCCTACGAGTGTATACACTTATCTACCGAATTAAGGTTTAAGGGGTGCACCTTGAACCGATTTCATATGTTTTTTGAATTACGAGAGTAGCATGTTCGGAATTACAGTCGTTATGGTAGAGAGGTTTTTTACCCAGCTATTTCAATGGGATACTTACTTGTTTCAAAAATAAAAGTTATTCAAAATGGAAAGCTATATTGATGTTATTAATCTTACATATAAAATATGATACTGTTCGGATTGGTTAAATTATCAGTGGTGAGCGTACTTTTTAATAATAATAATAAAAGGATAATGCTATTTGGCTCTCGATCGCTTAATTTCAATGTTATATTTACCGTTTTGTTTGTGTAAATGGATGATAATCCATGAGCATGGATGGATTGTACAATAATTTTACAAAGTGGAAATGCAAATATTGGAAAGGACAGTGCCAATCCATGTATGGAAGTTGGACCAAGTGCTGCCCAGAATGAAACCATAGTGCATTTTGTTCCTCAGGCCAATACTAATTTATAAACCGGAGCGCACTGAAATCTATCCCTGGAGTTACGAGAAAAAAAGAGTTTTGTTTAGAATTATTTACATACAAAATATCATCGATGTATACGTACTAAGCATAAGATTTCGAGATTGTGGCATTAAATAACACTCGATATGTTGAACTTAACCATACTGCATCCGTACACCTTACTTTAGTACGACTTCGACATTCTTTATAAGCAATAAAACGCTGTTGCAGTAGTTTGGTTACTTGACAGAAATTAATTATTTCCAAAATGGAGCAAGAAGTTTTAGCTTAATAACTCCAATAATCGATTGTAATACACCAATAAATAGATATTTTGCAATGATATAGAACTAAAACTTCTTGCTTCATTTTTGGAAATAATGAATTTCTATCAACTTACCAAACAATTAAAACAGCGCTAGATAGTTTATAAAGAATATCTAAATCGCACTAAAGTAACGTGTACGGATGCAGTATGGTTAAGTTTAACATAGCGAGTGTTATTTAATGCCAAAACCGCGAAATCTTATGCATAGTACGTATACATCGATGATATTTTGTATGTAAATAATTCGAAACAAAACTCTTTTTTTCTTTTAACTCCAGGGATAGATTTCAGTGCGCTTCGGTTTACACATTAGTATAGGCCTGAGGAACAAAATGCACTATGGGTTGATTCTGGGCAACACTTGGTCCAGACCCTGGCACTGTCCGGAAGCCATTTCTACGAATGCACAATTTTAATGATCGGTAAATTTTCTTTTCATCATAATTCAGCGGTGTAATTTTATTTCCTCCTAAAACATCTAGTTAGGTATACCTAAAGCAAAATTAATTTCAGCAGTAATTAATAGTAAACTGCCGATCCTGATGTTCGAGATATTTACGAGGAACAACGGCGATATTGGTGACCCGAAGTTGGGCTCTAAATATTGCGCGGCGCCCAAGTAAACAACAAACACCTATGGCCGCATAGTTATGGGTTTTTGTTTGCCATGTCTGGAGTTACGGCGATAGAGGAAAGGGGAGTGCGAGCCCGCAATCCTTCTTCACTTAACGTCCCGGCCGCGTCCTGAAAAAGACCGATAGGCGAACGACTTATTACTGACGTCGTAGGCTCAAGAGCTTTATTTTGCGATCGTGACATCTTATCCCCCTTAGTGATAAGAATTCCAGACTTTGAATGTCAATTAGATTCGAAGAAGCTTAGATTTTTATTTGTTTTGACGTTAACGCGTAGGTATATACGATTCGATTATCTAAGTGCTGAAGTGAATCAATATTGTATCAATATACATTACAATACAAGTATTAATTATATTCGACTTCAAAGTCGCTCTGACTCTCGACTCTTATTGAAGGTTAATGTAGGAAAATTGTGTAAGTAATGTAAAACACAATAATTCAACTTCAATGTACGAGTAGACGATGAAAAATGCCTCATCTCAAATCGGAAATCATGCGCACGAATTCCCAAATCAACAAAGACTTACTACTTACATTGCGCCCTTCCTTTTTTGTAACACATCAAAAGATAAATTTGGGTTGCCACAAAACAACCATACATTGCTATTTGCGCCCTTAAGGCCATGAGATAATAAACAGTTACCCGTGACTTTCTGTTTCGGAAAGTTAGTGTCAAGCCCTCGAGACAGTCGCATACATAATTTGAATGAAACATATAAATTGACCAGAATCCGGGGTGTTTTCAAACAAACTTGTGAGCTGAGTTAACTTCTGAATAAGTCGAGTTGACATGTTAGAGCACCTTTGGTCGCAATATTTTGGGACGCGTCTGTCACTGCTGGTTGGATAATTAGGCAAATTAAGAAGACCGCGCTCTGCTAATGGGGTAAGTTAGTGTAGAAATTATCTTGAGTGTGACGGTATTCGAATATAAGTACGTACCTGTATGTAGATATAATACAGTAGGGTGTCAGTGTTGGTAAGCATTTGCCATATTCATAATTGTAATTTTGAACATAATATTATTTAAACGATTCTCCTATGTCCTAGTCTATCGCTTACAAATATTACGGTCTTTATTGGTCACTAGCGGCCCATCCCGGCTTTGTATGGGTATTAGAATAGATAAAGAAGATGTAAATATTTCGTCGTAAATGTTGCTGTGACCGAATGAAGTTATCCTGAGTAAAAAGAATCAAATCAAAAGAGTGTGCTGGACTGCTTTTTTCGCATTAGTGGTTTCGTTCCTATGTAGAATGATAATGACTCTATTTGTTATGTAGGTAGTACCTATTAATTAGGACCAAACAAGCCCTAGCCTTCTATTGTTTCCCGTAGTTAACTACTTCGGACAAGAAGCTTGTATCTTAAAACCTTGTTTCCGAGATAATTGAGAGGTAAGGCAGCACATTCTGTTAAGCATTACCTAAGTTGAAGTAGACATGGCTCGGGCATACACAAGACGCGTGGGCGGTCCGATGTACCGTGTCGAGTATTACCCACGCCTTGGATACGAAGGCACACAGGAAAATCTTTTATTGGATTGGCAAGTGTGTGTTACTTAATATTTAATGTATGTTATTAGTACTAGGTAGGTTTATATTTGATATGAAGTTATAATATCTAAGTAATAAATATTTATGTTATAAAACTCTTATCAATTGTGCTACAACTAGATTCATCAGCTTCAACTAGGTAGATTTTGATAAATAAGGCCATTATTTTTCTATGTGTAGATGACCCAAGTTGACACATTTTGACAGGACACAAACGGATCGTGCAAATGGCAAAACGTGCCCCCGAAGCATAAATTCATCAATTATTTCCAAACAATCACTTTCATTCATGTAATAACAGAAGTGGGAATAAATTACTATGTTTGCCCCTCTGGGAATCTAACCAGAAATACTGGGTCATGATGAGACTCGAACTCACTTTTAACTAAACCACGGAGGCGTTATATCAAACAAAATGTTTGTACATGGCCAAAAACATAATGTGATGACATTTAAATATTAGTAATATACTTTGAAGTCAGATTTCAATCCGCTGGACACGCTAAATTCAAATACCTAATGTAGAATAACCGAAAAGATATCACAACATTCCAATTTACTTTTCATGTTATTGAATAACCCATTTCCAATCCGGGCTAGATTTGTCGCATCGTATCGAATCCAAATGCGTTTCAGCTAGGTTTCAGATCCACGGAATCACTTTGAGTCACGTTCCGTTTTCGATGGTTTCTAGAAGTTCTTTAGAATGCAAGGATCTTGATTTATATCTAAGATGCTTATTGATTTGGTATTACTTCAATAAGAAGGTCATAAAATATTGAACAAACTCCGTTTCTCGTGGCATTCTTCAGATATTCTTACGGTTAGTTCAGAGGATTTCAATGTATTGCATTGACAAAGTGACTTAATGCAATTATTATACCTACGAGTATCTTGGAATAGCGTGGACTGTGGACATTTTATTAAACGTGAGTGTAGTAACAGTCGACATCAAAAACATCTAATACAGAGAAAGTACTCAAAAATATGTTCCTGTTTTCATTTTGCTATTTTTTTAAATGTACCTATTGAATTATTGACGTTATTCTTGCAGAAATAGATAACATATTATCTACACATGATTTATGAAAAACCTGGCGTGGATTGCATGTCAAATAAAGATTGGTTTCAGTAGTCTAAACCTTTTTACTTTTCAAAGCGATATAGCGAAGCGTTGTCTGGGAATAACTATTTGTGATATGAATATCTAGCTTATGTCGTGACATATGCATTATATGGTAAAGGCAATTTTCTGCCTTATGTGAATGATCCGCCTGGGTAAAGATAAATCTTAAATCAAAGAAAATTCAACAGAAACTAAATTCACAAAAAAAAAATGCCACGCACTTGTAATTTAAATTGGCCTTTTGTTTTGGTTGAATATCAAGAGATTTTTATTAATAATATTTTTTTTCCGATTTTTATTAATAATCCGTTTTTACTCAATTAGAATTTAATTTTGTTAATTGCGTTAGCCATTGAGTTATTTCAGGCAACACGTGTCTTGTCTCTTATACCTACACTAATGGTTTCAGTTCACGTTAGGTTATTTATTGTACCCTCTTCAATCTAGGCTAAGTATAGCTATTCAAGGAGGAAATGCAGTGAGCATTCTTCCCTCCTTAAGCAAGTTCCTACTTTATTAGTATATTAGTTTCTGCCCGTTGCTTTTCCCGGGATCCACATCTATTTTTATGCCATGAAAGCCTTACTAAATGACTGGTAGACAATTATTTTTTCATTGTGGTGAAGATAAGTATTCGTATTTTTATTCATTTGAGTATCTTAAAATGCATTGTGTATCGCGAATTCTAAATTCCCCAAAGATCTACGTATTTTAGCCTTCGGTTAAGAAACCAAAATCTACGAGCGAGAAATCACGGACCGACGATATTTTTTTATAAAGGTTAAAAGGCAAGTCGAATGACAAGTTATGTCGTGCAACATACTCGTATATATTTACAGCTTTATCGCACTCTAGTGTAACTTTACCTTTCGTACAGCACATCAAACTAAAGAAGCATCTTATTACAGTGGTAATAGATGTTATTTTTCAACAAAATGTACAGTTTAATGTGCTGTTGACTGTACATTCTTCCACTTTGTTTAAGAGTTTTTTCCTCGCTTCCATTACTGTCGCGCACCTTGCTTATTCCCAATGGAATCATTCGAGAAATTCATTAATATCGTCTTTAGTCCACCGAGAGTAATTTAGGAAAAAGGCAGAGTAATACTGTAAATTACCGCTCAGACGCTTCGTACTACTCGGAAAATGTGTTTTTATAATGTGAATAAGTAATGTAGGAAGGAAAAAATGCGCATCCGCTATAAGAAATATTATGTGTCTTTTACAACCACCCATAAAGATAGTCTAAGAGCGCAAGTAAAGATATTATGTTTATATTGCCACGTGGTGTATATGACGCGTGCTTACATGACATCGTAGAAGGGATCGCGTACACATTGGCACGAGCCATATGATGGCATGGCAGTATTAATTTTAAATTCTGTTTTCATATTCATTGCTTTTTTATCTTCAAAATAGGAAGATATTAATGATAGTCTAGAATATACTGAAAAAATATTACGTCAGCTGGTGCAGTCTAAAGTGATATAATAGAAAATAACTACCCGGCACTCTTGGTAGAGCTACTCAGAATAGGAGCTTCCACGACACTAATTAATGAAGTAATTTACGAAACTCTGGCCCCCGCACCAACACGAAAACGGGCTCAGCCACCTAACGCTATATTCGCCATATTCCTTGAATTATTCCTCCTCACTCCCTCACACATAGGCATAGAGCAAAAAGAAAAGATAGTTTGTGCCAATTTAAAAATAAAGGATTGAAGTGAAACTAAGTGTAAAGTAGCTTTTCCATCGGAATGAACAGTCTGCTGTTACAGTGCTGCAAGGAGGGTCGATGTATGAATAGCTATGTTGAGAAAATGATTTAAAATACGATGTATTGAGTGTGCAACTTTGTTGGGAACATTCAAGGCTTAAATTGACTGGCTGTTTTATACAACTGAGCATAAAGCTCCCTTATTGCTCAACCGTCGCTCATTTTAATGATATGTTGTTTTAAATTTTCTTCAAACGAGCCCAACAATATAGGGGAGTTAATATACGGAATCATATGTCGCTCGGGCTTATAAACGATGCCATTTGAGCGTGTTCATAATGTTCCTAGCGGATTGTGTTTCAGTCATTTCTGAATTGTACAGTGACAATGGATATTGCGGGTGCTTTGCAACTTTTTATGTAAGGGATGAATTGTAACTTACGATGATTAAGTATGTGTTTTTGTTTGTTGAGTGTCCTAAATCATATTTAATGTTAACAATGAAAAGTATAATGTTGCTATAGGAGTCTGTTAGCTCCCTACCCTGTTAGATCAAGTCACAGAAGAATTATGGTGGCATCAATTGAGAAAAATTGTGCTGTGGAGACTTTGAAGCTTAAAGATCAAATATGTCTTAAAAAGTTTTTAGTGCTAACTACCTTACAGTTAACCATTACTATATCCACTGATTTGTTCCGGGTTTGTCATAAAACGTATAAAATAGTAGTTATCTAGATGTCAGATTTTGGAAGTGACAAAATATTCGACTTACCAATAAAGAACCAGACGTAAGATTTCCCATACAGGCGATGCTTGTACACCTCGCAGAGCACCCTCCTGGCTGCCACCACGTAGAACAGCCCCACGATGACCCTCGCATCCTGCCTTCTGAGGTTCCTCACAGCATCAGCCGGGTCGGAGAGAAACGACTGCCTCGTCACGATCTCTATGCTCGCTTTCTTGCAGTGCGCTTCTAGATCTTCGACGGTCTGTGAAAGATATAAAAGTTATTTAATTGTTTGTCTATAGACTAAACATCATGAGTAGGGTAAGTCCAGGATAGATGCCCCACTTTTTGAAACAGCTCTGTAACTCAGTCAGTAAGTTTTTATCAACAATTTGATCTTAGTATCTGTAAACTTTGGTCTTTCGTCTATGATATTACTATAATTATTTTAGTTTAAGTTATACCGATTCTGAGTAAATACCATTTTAATTGACCTCTTAAAAGTGGGATAGGCGCCTAATGTGGGGGATAGAAGACTCACTGTATGATTGCTTCAAAGGATAGATGCCTGATGCAGGGATAGATGACTCGTTAATACAGTTTTTGAATTCTAAGGATCAAAATTGCATTTTGAAATCAAACAAGCCAAGTATTCATAATTATGATTGTTTGTTATTAAATGAATTTAAAATGAAATTTAATATTTTTTATTAAAAATAATACACACATCCACCCGAAAAACATAACCCTCCTTCTAGCGCAGTCGGGTAAAAAGGTTATTCGATCAGAAGGGCACCCCATTTATTACTTTCCTAAGGTTAGCTGTACTACATTCTTTTTTTCTTCTTACATGTAGCAACATGTGACAAAAAGAGCAGGTTAGAATAGATGCCCCTAGGTGCATGGGACATGGCCCTAAGGGCATCTATACCCAAAAAAAATTAGGCAACTATCCTTTTAGCATAGGATAGGTGCCTTTTTTAATAAAAAATATAATAACACTAAAAATCGAATTAAACATAGCTATCCCGTCTAATTTATAAGATAGTCTATCAAATTATATAAAAATCTGCTTCATTTTACAGCTGACAAAAAAATTATCCATTAAAAGATACTTACCAATTTTATTTCGACGCTCGCTAAGGTTTGGCCGCGGAAGATTTTTGCTCTCACTGGCTAAACGAACGCACTCTTTGATAGTTTGCGAGGCTTAAAGTGGTACGGGGAAGTCCCTTTCTATTATACGTACTATAACTTTAGGCTAAGTTGCTTGTAACATAGTGTACTTAAAATCGCGGCACCTATCCCACTGGGGCATGTATCCTGGAATTACCCTAAATCTCAAAAGATGGCGCTGCGTGTACTCTGCATCGCGAACTTTATTTTCCCTGCGGATAAAGTATCGTTCATAAGTTTTTTAAGGCGTTTGGTTATGGTATACATGTAGTATTATACAATGTATTGTTGCCGGGATCACACAAAGTTATAAGCCCATTACACTACGGAAAAGCCTTAGGTATTTTAAAATTTCAATTTCAGCTGCACATCTTTACTCTCGATCGATTATTCTCCCCTAAGGCTGCTATCGTGCAAGATAAGCTGACTTTAAACCACCGGCAAAAATATAAACGATGGGGACTCAGCAGTGAAATTTTTATGCGGCAACTCACGACATGCCAAAATCGTCTTATATTAGGATTAACGAAGCCAAATGTGCGCCGTCAGAGCGAGAAGATTTTCATTTCCATCGAATACGTCGTTATTATGAGAGCGTGTGCCTTTATTTTCGTTAGCAGTTGTTTTTGCGTGAACTTTCGCGGAAAATATTTCGCGGGTGGCGTTGAAAGCAAAACAGCGGAGAAAGAACGCTTGAAACCCACTTATGCAGAAAAAACCGGAGGCCGCACTAATTACATTGAATCCAGCGTGAAAGGCCGGGCCATTCATTGCGGGCAACTGTACAGTCGGCCCCCTCGTTATGCCCGCGTGCGCTCTAAATACCACTAAGGTGCTTTCAGCTTACAAAAACTTTACATAAGTTGACTGCATGTATCCGACGATACGCCAGATACGCTGTTTTGCTTGACATTAAAATTAAGCTTTTCCGGATTTTTATTTTTAAGAACTTTTCAACCTTAGGTACTGCAGACGTTTTTGTGAATGCAGAACAGAATTTGAAGAAAATATTTATTTTTATTTCTGATGCTTGCTAAACTTGATACGTAGTACCTATACAAACGAGATTATGTAAGTAAATAAAAATATATTTTCAGAATCTGAATCATGAACAGAAAATAAGTATAGATCCAGAATATTTAGCCGTGCTTTATGTTTCGATTAAAATAAGAGAACATTTTCCCAGAAAAATATTCTCTCAGATACAACACTGCTTCTTATATCACTGCACAATTTGAATAAATACAGCCATTTCCATAGACGTTAAGAGGGGGCGATAGGGGCAATTGGATTCAGTAAGCACAGCTCTTCTAGGGGTCTTAAATTTCCGACCTTTGAATATTATCGTATGGATTAAATCGAGAGAAACTCGATCGAAGCACTTTTTCGCGATTGGGTTAAAAATACTTATGTAGTTTAGGCATCGCATTTGAAAGAGAAATAAATTGTATATACAAGTAACGTAAGAAGACCGTAAGTGACAAATATAATATTTTGTTGGAAAAAATAAAGACTTTGTTTTTTTTAATTAGATAGATGCAAAAACAATTTATTTAAAGTAGCTTAACAACTCCGAACCATTTTTTTGTTATAAGTACAAAGTTGTTAGCACAATGTCCAATATCCATTATTAACATAACAAAGAATATAAAGTTACGAAAACAACAAAATCCCCAGTTATAAATAACGTTGTACAAGTATTAATAATGGCGGTGTCCAATCTTCCTGAACCCACTACAAGCTTAGTGGCTGTATGCGGATTTAGCGGAGCGAGGGGAAAAAATAAAGTTCAGATACACCCATTTATCATGCAAGAAGCTGTGGCTGGCTCCCCCGACGACGATTATTCCCTTTTTATGGCCATTGTTGCAGTACGCGTACGTTATGTAACTAAATGCCGGATCCGCAGTGTTTAATTTCACTTTAATTCGGTATTTTCACGGCATCATTGTTCTTATTTCGTAATTTAAGTGCAAACTTGTATGTTATGTTATTTCTTTTGTATTCCTAACTACTTTTTGGATACCCTGTTAGATTTATAGAATATGGTTTGAGTCAAAGTCAAGAAGTCGATGTCGTCTGCTCTGCATATTGCGTGATTCGTCATTCGATTGTTTTGAACGGAATCGTCTGCTTGCGAACGACGTATCGAAGGCAAAATAAAACGTTCTGTCCATGAAACGTCAATAACGCGCCGCGTTTATCAATTTTTCCCCTTGACTCTTACTTTGGTGAGCCTACAGACGAAATATCAAGCTATCGAAAGCACTGTGGAATCTTCTGTAGTTATAAAATGAGCTATATTGCACCAAAAAGTATAATATAATTTGTTAATGAAATTTCTAACAGCGAGAGCTTCCACAGAGATCGCGCCGTTTCTCAAATGACGAATCTTGTTATTTTCCGACGACACACAAACGTTATGTTAGGATAAAATAGAGGAGTCAGTCGAAGGCAAGTAAATAAACACGGAACACAAACAGCAGTGAAATATTGAAAGCATTGTTTACATTTCCTCTATGGTTAGATCAACCTCTTTCCACAGGCTAAAACAATATTGCAGATACCACAGTTGAGTGTACACTGCTGCAGAGTTATTTATTTTATACTACGAGTATGTTAGAAAATGTAATAGATTTTGACTATATTTCATGTTTTGAATGCATAAAATAGGAGTAAAGTGAATAATTTTAGAGACGGTGTGCGAATAGATTTGAATTTAATGCGCCTGCTAGTATGAATTTAGTTCAGATGCTAGTGCTTGTAGTCAGTTACATGATCTTATAGTCTTTGCTAATAAATTTTAGCAGTTTTGACAACTGAAACGGAAAATGAACTGTGGGGTCTTAACACCATTTCGCTTTGCAATTTAAGATGAGCTTATTCAAATTACAAAGGTCAAAGAAAGCTCGGGGTCAATGTTAATCGGCAAATGTTTGCATACATTGCCGTAGTCTACGGCATGGACTCTAGAAGTTTTCACTTTTCATTTAAGTATCGTCTATTTTGTATCACACATAAAACGGACGTAATGAAAATACATCGGAAAGGATAGCAGAAGCTATTCTACTATGCGTGTTTTTTTAGTTCCATGCCACCTAAACAAATTACTGAGCTATGTTATTTATGGTATTTGCAATTCAAATGTAGCTACCCTAATCTATGTATTTATTTATGTCATGGTCAGAATCCTCTGACTCGCACAAAACAGACTTGTAAAGATCCGATAATACACTCTGTCGCTTTCCAATAGAGTGAAATCGAAAATCGTTGATTCACTGAAGGCCAATCACGAAACCGTTTGTCAATGTGCAGACAAAGCCTAGCGTGTCATACTCCACTCGACGTCGATACGAGCAAGTATCTCCTATCGAACGATTTCAGTCACGCAACTCGGCATATGTACCCCGCTGTAATCACACACGCCGATATCGCCCCTATTATCAGGCGATACTCCACAGGTTGAATTATCCGGGGCTAATGTAACGTAAAGATAACATGTGGAATAAAAGGAGACGTTTGAGCCATATCGGGAACAGAAGTCAACAAATTGCGTTTCCCCATTGGAACAATATAGTAGGGAATTTAGTGCAAGAACCCCTCCACTTTGGTATAGAAGGCTCATTTTTGCAACAGTGGTTCTTTGGGTGCTCCTGAGTGGATTTCCGTCGGTAGACATCGGGAGCCCCCCCTGTGGTAGCAGGGGGAGGGGGGGCAAGTTTCCTTCCGCCGCGCTTCACTTTAAGGCCCATATCTTCAAAACTATGGGTATTATGGCAAGTGTGGTANTACTGTAAAGTTTCATCAAAATCCGTTCCGTAGTTTTTTGCGTGAAAGAGTAACAAACATCCATCCAGACATCCAGACATCCAAACTTTCGCATTTATAATATTAATAGGATTAAAATACCTATGTGACCATAATCATTCGTGCAGATATTTTGTGAATCATAAGTTCCAATCTCAATAAAAAAAACTTGTTTTACAATACACAGTAACAACGAACCAAAATAGGTAGGTACTCAACGCACTTTAGGAAACATCTTTCTTTTAAAGTCGGTTAAAAAAACACCAGACTATAGGCGCC